GCCTGTTAATGGATGATTTAAATATTTTCAGTCTCAATGCTATTTCACACATTTTCACATTGCTGGTTGCTCATTATAAATGTATATATGGGTTGAGTGGTGTGGGGCCGCTCTTACGGGTGGAAGGCCCGTGGACTTCGTTCAACCAGTCCCAATGCCAGTTGAGCCACTGCCTGTCGTTTTCTCTGTATATGACTATCATTTCAGACGACATTATCAACTCAGATATTACGCAATGACTAAATTTGACTGTTGCTACAGAGGCGCTATAAATTATCAATTTGGGTAGACGACTTCATCATCTTGGCATACGACCTACACCTCAGAAATCAATGCATTCATTCAACCACAGTAAAAAGCAGTATCATTATAGCCTTAGAAATAATGAATGCCTCGACGGCACACTAATATGTACAGATACGTTATTCTAAAACAGCGTTGTGTCTGAATTGTAAACTAATTTCATATGTATTTCAAATTTATCAAATAAAATATAATTTTCTATCAAACTACTCAGACTTTATTAGCAATTTCCCCTTATTGAATGATTTGTCTGAATGCAAGCGGAATAATTCATATAAATTGATCTTTGACAGATTGTTTACTTTTCTGCTTCCATTCCATACCCAAATCAATAATATTAGACATGCTTTCAGTGTATATTTTAAACGAATTCTGCTATTTGGTCAACATTTCAAAGGGAAGATTTTTTATAAATCCCTAATAAATTTTCATAATTTAATCAGTTGCATGCTATTCATTCAATGCGGGCTTTTGATTCGGCAAAATAAGAAATAATTGTCTACTTATATATTAATGATCGCTTGTGTATAAATTAACAGAAAGCCTTTGAATGTTTTGAGTTTAATAGGTGCATTTCGAGGCGTATTAGACTAGTCTAATATGCCTCGGAATGCACCTATTGTTCCCGTCACATTATCCCGTCGCTGGAAAGGACAGCCACGTGATCAGTTTAAACAGAGGTCAAGCAAATGTTAACAGAATGAAAAGACAAGAAGGTCAGTGTTTGACCTTACTGTAGTGGTTACGTACAAAGCTAATAGCTAATAAAACATTCGAAACGAAACTATTTCCAGAAAGGAAGTTAAATGTAAAATCGTCCCTTTAAATTAAATATCCTTTAACTAATACATAGCAAATGTTGATATTTATATGAAAGTCTGGAATATGTTGATTAAATGAATTAACGCTAATTGTAATACATGTTTTAAATTACCTACATCAAAAAAAAGTTTTATTTGTACTTTATTGATACAGAATGTCTATAAAAACTCTTTATTTTCTTTCATTTAATCTAGACATTATGGTATGTTCTGAAAATTAATGCGGAAGTGTTATGTTAAAGAGAAAACTGGTTTGAGAATGTTTTTAATGTATACAGGCACGCGAGGAGATATTGGTTTAATCGTTGGTATACCTTGATAATAATAATGAACTCTTCATTTTACATGGATCAGAATTAGGCCCAATAACAAGAACATGGTCCTGTCTAATATTCAGCCCATGGAGACAATATAAAGAATGAAAAAAAAAATACACAATACCTCAAAGGACAACCTGTTTAACAAATACACAAGTACATGTGTATTACGTTGACAGATTATGTTGCTGTGATCAAGTACATGACCACAAAAGATGTACAAGCAGTCGCAATTTAACAATAAATATATAGAAAAATACATATACACAAATAAACTAAAACTAAACTATGCTGTTCAGAAGAATACTGGGTGCAATTTTGAAGCACAAAAAACATGCTTTGAAACATTTTCGAGTTCAAATTGAATTATTTCGACCAAATGAAAAATATCCAATTTCTTACGAGATGAACTTCCGCCCACGATTACCCTATAAAAGTGAGACATAAGTTTGAAAGCGCACCAACTGGGTAAATTATCCCTTCCTCCGGCTAATTGACGATAATAAGTAATGAGTAAGGTCATTTGATGCTCTCATCTATGCCCGATTAAACGTAGCACACAGAACTTGATACAGAACTTCAAGCAAAAAAAGTTAATTTGGTCTTATAAAAGACTGTTCGTAATCTTACTCGTACAGACCTATTAGTTTTTCGAAGCTCTCTAATTAACAGTAAAAACTAACCATTAATTCCAGCTCGCATGTTGAAACAATTTATCTTATTTAAAACACATCTTCTTTGATACAACGTATGGATAAATAATAGCCACAGTTGTGTTGTGAGCTTTACCTTGAGTGACTGGTATTCCCATACCTATATATCAATGTTACTGACAGAACGGACGAGAGGAAAGAAAGCTAGTTAGAAGTGGCAACAATTAATTTGTGTTTTTACGTTCTATGGCATACCTGACATGCCTCGAAATACCTGTCTATGCCTATTTAGACTAATGAAGATGAACATTGCCATACAGTGTAGAGTGACATTTTGGAATGTCCGATATTTCCACCAATTTCCGTCCGAAGTGCAGGGTCATGTCAAAACACTTAGATCAAATTAACAAGCAAATGCTTTCAGACTATAATAGGAGAATAAGTCAACATAGAAATATGACAGAAAAAATGAAACCGAAAGACATGTATATGAGGTTTAATTTATAACAATCAAAAGTCATCATCGTTTCGGAACATCCTGCATGTGTTTGCGGTCATGATTTTGAGGACGCCGAACTCTATTTCAACCACTGCTCCTTCTATTTATACATTCGTAACATGTCTATAAATAAACTGCCATCAAAACGTCTTCTTTCCTAATGAAACAGATTCTCAGCTTGAATCTGAGGAAATCTTTCAAAATGTTCACATTAAGAACTATAGCTCATTATCAAAAAATCTAATGATATTTCGTATTAAAAAGTAATATTCAATAAATATGAATAAATATATTTACTTGATTATTGAAAGAATATGTGGCTTCGGGTAGTGTAGAGGTGGGTTGAGCAGGGTGAGAAGCACTGCTTTTAGGTATCAATAAAAAAATCACAAAATGCATCAACTGCCAATCTTAAGAACAACTACCAAGAGGAAAACTTAATATGATTCGCTGAAACGCTGAAAGTGGTCAGGAAAGAGGGAGATAAAGTTCAAAATAAGATTCGAAATTTAATTAGGATTCCCAGAGCCACGATAACGGGCATATACTTATCATTAACAGTACCAGTGAATCGATACTAAATACACTAGTACTATAGTTTTGATAATAAAAACTGATATATTTGATAAATATGACTTAGAGTACCATTAAGACGTTGGTTGTTTATCTATTTTACATACTCACACCTGCAATTCCTTTGATATAATGATTGTTTACATCTTAATACCTACATCGTAAACACTATAGACCGATACTTACTGACTCTTACTCAGTTGCCCAGTCGCATAGACAATGTTACATCCTTTAAGGCATTTACGATATTCCAAACTTAATGAAAGCCAGAGAAAAACCTATTCTTTTCATAAATTTGCAGGGTTTGTTGGGTCTTATCAGGAATGGATGGATGTATATGTATTGAAGAACAATCATTTCAGTTCAACTTAACCAAGAAGGCGGAACACCTGGTACAACTCTGGAAAAGTTTGGAAAAGATATACGTGAACCATGAACTGACAGATCAGCCCAGTTTCGATACAGCTAAATTACCCTGCAGTAAACAACCCGGGTCTTTTCTGACTTCCTCGTCATCAACTGTTATTCCCATCAGTAATCTATCATACTATGAGGGAAATGAAACAGAGAGGAACCGTCCACCAGTGGGAGGCAATTAAAAAAACTTCAATCAAGACCTGCTCAATCTTCAAGGTTTTGCTACACCTTGATACCATGTGATTTTCAAGAACAAACCGAATCATTTACCACACTCTTAAACCCTCTGTATCTTTTCTGTAGGTTACTTACTCATATCATGATCTTAAGACATTGATCAAGAAAGATATTTTTACCAATTTAGCCAATGAAACGCTCAGTTCAGTAAAACATTACTACCACATATTAGACATTCTTTATTGAGGACATACTACAAAACTGATTTACGCAATCTTCACAATGTCAAGCTTCGCACTTCGTCTAATACCTTGAATTCAATAGCCACCTCCTTTTGTATCACGGAAGTTTGTAAATGCAGCGATGTGGTTGGATTGTTGATTAGCGAATACAACCAATCATAACCCTCGACATGAGTGTGTAAACAAAAATCTATAACGTTTACAGTCTTTCTGTCGAGGGCTCTGATTAGCTGTATTCGCTGGCGTACAATCCAATCAAATTGCTGCATTATGTGATATAAGAAAGTTGGCTATCGCAGCCAAGATAAAAGACGGTGTTCGGATGTGAAGTTGAAATACCATTGAGTCCTTTTTAAATCTTTTGTATACTTAAATAAAAGCGAAAACAGTTTCATCAACTGATGAATTTCTAAGAACTCTGAACTCTATTACGAGACTGATTACGCAAATTTCTCTGTAACAATAGAAATAGTCTAAAACTATAGCAATTCATGTCTGCACGATATGCGTTTAGCATATTTTGAAACAAACAAAAATTACAAGCTGTCAATGCAAATAAATAATTTACGATAATTCACGAGTTATTTTAACAAACAAAATCCAACAAATTACTACTTGTCTTGCAAATCTGACAGGCACATGACTCATATGAAACAACGTATTGTTCTTACATGGAAATAACATAACACTTGCAGGTTTGGTTGAATTATTATCCCCTTTCAAAAATTCTACATGAAGTCGGGGTACAGATTCAAAATGGCCGTGAACGACGTTCGTGTGTGTTATTGCCATGCAAGAACCATTACGTAGTTTTGTATGGCACATGACTTAGTTCAAGCCGACTGTAACAAAAAAACTAGAAGACATTGCAATCAATATTTTGCCCATTTTGTTATGTCAACAAGATCGCAGATTGAGACACGATAACAGTGAGTCGCCATTGTTAATTTACCGACGTTTTGAGAGGTTGTGTACAAAAATAGATTTATTAGTGAAAATTATTTTCTACAAGGTGTCGAAATGTTTCCACACGTCTGAAAACACATACAATTTTAAATAGCACATATGTCGGGTACGTCTAAAGAAACGTACATCTTCACAATGTCAAGCTGTTGCGACGAACTGCGTCTTGACTGCAATAACCGCCTTTCTTGTATCACGAATAATTGAATATGTGCAGCGAATGATTGGATTATGTTGCCATTGAATGCAGCCAATCAGTGCCCTCGATAGAAAGACTGTAACTGGGGGCTAAATTGGCTGTACTGTCCAATAAAATCGTTGTGTTTACCATCTTCCGTAATACAAGATGGTTTTTGCAGTCAAGGTATTTGACGCCTTTCGTAACATTGTGAAGATGAGAAAGTATTAAGCTTAATACAACGCCCAAGAAGAAAACATTTCCTGTTTTGAATCTCTTTGGTGCAAGTCGTAGGGTTGACTTAAAAAAGGTAGGTGGATCTTATGAATGTTTCGACAATAAAATTCTATTTCAATGGTATAATAAAAAATGTCTTTGTTTTTGTCAAATTTTTATCAGATGAAATACTTTGAGTAATTTTTATCTCGTGTTATCCAACCTCAATCTTCTAAACACATAATAATAATACTAGCTTTATTGTCGCCTTAAAGCTTATAACATATATAAACATTCATTGTATGTAAATTCAACTAGCATTATATGAATTTCAATAGGCTATAAAAGACAAGAAACGAGACAAAGCATGGGAAAAGTTCGTGTTTATCATCAATTATTCTGCCTTTATTGTAAGATTTAAAGGAAGAGGTTCGCCATTTTCGGGAGTTGATTTGTCTTGTAGGCCCGATATAGTCTTTAGAAGTGCTAGGTACAAAAACTAAAAAAATCCTTCAGAAATACCTATGAATTTCACTTTTTATCTCTACTTTCGTCTTTCCTATATGACAAAGTCTCAAAAAAACACGACTCGTCATTTTAACTTTCAAGTGCGGAATTATTCGTGTTTTAAAAGTTCAAATTTTGACTGAAAGCTGTGAACACCATTATTGATAAGCTTAGATAAAGACTAAGACTGAGTTTCTGAAACTAAGGTATGATTGGTCAAACGGGTGGCGAATCTCTCTCTTTAATGCACACAAATGATTTATTGAGAAGTTGTAACAGGAGACACTGACTCAACATTGGTTAGACATATTTCAGATGGTGTTTCACAAATGTCAACCACTTGGTCGAGACTTACATTTGTCGTGGTGGCAGTGTTTGCTGGCGCGCTAGTGCCACCTGGGCTAGCAACTTGTACCGCTGGTGCTTTCCACCAAACACCCTGTACATTCTCCTCTATCCATTTCTTCTTGTCAGCAAACCATCTATTCAGTCGGTTAATTCTCAGAACATATTTTCCTACATAATAATCAATCGGTAGTTCTTTGGGCTCTTCAGAATGTTCCTGCAAAAGTTTAGCTCTGTATATCTCGATTTCACGTTTGACTTCTTCCACGGTCAAGGTCATTTCGGCATGTTTCAAAAAGTTTGGTCTTTTTCTCAACTTTTGAAACTTCTTAGGCCTACACCTCTTTGATATCTTTCGATTTTTGTTCTTAGGGTAACAATTAGTGATTTTCCCCTCCGCCTTTCTGCATAAAAACCAGTTATTGAGCATAATGAGCTTTTGTCTATGTAACTCTACATAGTGCTCCAGAGGTAGTTTTCTAGTTCCCATGTCTGACCGAAGACAGAGGGTAAAACGTTTCAGTTCCCACTTCATTTCTTCTTCAGTTAAAGGTTCGTGTCTCTTTTTCAATATACGTGGTCTTCTTCCGCAATACGCCATATCGTCAAATGGTTTTGAGGGTAGATCTGTTAACATTGGCTTAGGCCTACGTGTAGAATCTTCGTATGATGATCTTGATTTGATGGCGCCATTTGCCACACTAGTTTCATCTGTTGTTACTTCTTCATTTCCGGTTTCCTCAATAATAATGACGTCATCATTACTGCCCTGTGAATCGATTATTTCACATGGAGACTGTTGTAGGGTCTCGTGTACAAGATCGGGTAGTTTGTCGTCATCGGTATCAACATCAACTATTTCAATGTCGATATCTTTAGTTTCCATCTTCCATGCTTTTCCGCTTACCGCCATGTTACTATACGTCTGTTTTGGAACTTCATGTTGACCATTAACAGGTGCATCCGTACTGGACCCAGTAGATACGTTCAATACATCGACTTCATCGCTCTCCCCTACCTCCGACTTCGTGGTACTGGCCGATTCCAGAGGGCCATCCCAAGTTATAGTTACGACAATCTGAGAATTGCACTCTTCTATTTTCCATGTGCTCGGCGGCTTCGAGACATTCATAGATTTAAACATCATAAGGAATCTTGTGGGTAGCAGTTTGTCCATTCTCCCCCTTAAGATTATGTTTATCGTTTGGCTTTTTTTCTGTTTTCTTGTTTGTTGACAATTATTAGTTGGAGAGTGTTAAAAGCACGTTATCAAAACGGAGAAACACAGACGCAATGCCAATCAAATATTAAAATCCCTGTCAACCTTTACGTCTGAGACATTTATGACATGTATTTGACAAACTAGTGATATTGTCAATGGTCTTTGAATAAAAAGCAGACATTAGATGGGAGATATGGTAGTATTTAGCAATAGTAGCATACCAGCAACTAAGCTGGGTATTGAATATCAATGATAGCCAACTTGATTAATCTATTCACTCGAAACTACGGGTAGGTTACTTCGTACTTGCTTGTAAATCTTGAATTATTATAGCAAAGACATGAAATTCATTGTGATTTCGCCATGTAGTGTGCTTTAAAGGAAAAGTTGTGCCATGACTATGGTATTATTTCGACTTACATACTCTTTTTCAATCTGTAGAGATCTTTAACTTTCAAAGCCTATAGCAAATGCGGCTGCAGTTTATTGTTTCACTATTACTAACCTCAACAACCTGTATCACTGAGAGATCTGAGTAAAATAACGATCTAAATGTTTCGTTGACTGTATTTCTGTGTATCCTGTTCATTTTCAACCAATCAAATGCTCTGTACAAATAATGTGAGGAATTCTGGGTATTTATTTTTAAATATTTACTTTGTCAACCCACTAATTGATTTTGATTGGTTAACGAACTTTACGAAACTTAAAAATTCGGCTCATGCACATTTAAAGAAGGTTATGATCGGATCGTGGTTGTACCAGATCTAACAATCAGAAACACTAAGGGAAACTTAAGAGCTTTCTTGAATTATATAGATTGTATTTAACCAGTTAAAAAATGTCACAGAACAATTTCAGATATCCATCCGCATCACATTTAAACCTCTTCAGAAACCATTCATTAATTCTAATCATATCAGGTTACTAATATTGTTGTCAACACGTGACATGAACTTGGATGTAGTGCTTTAACTGTACATAAAATGGCAATTACATAACTGAATTCTATGTGCGCTATCAGTGTCAGTGTCTCAGTGCCCTGGCACCATAGTGATGCATTTTGGGAATAACGAAAGCGGTCATGAGTACCGAACGCAACTCACAACTCAGTTGCATGAGAGTTGTGTTCGAAACTTATACGCACCTGGTGATCGTTTTGGTGTGAGGCCTCCTTTATCGATGGCATCGTTCATGTTTCCGTCGATCTTAGTGCAGACACCTGATGGATACATGGCTCTTGTAATGAGACTTCTTACCACTATAAAAATCAATGTGTCTTAACTACGATATAACTATATCATTTACAACTATCGTCAATAAAAAGGTTTTTTTTTAAAATGTCGTCTGCTAGGCAATTAGGCGCCGTTGATCAGAATTCTCCTTAATGCCACGGCAAAGGCTTCTGAAAGTCGGTCTGGTGGTACTCCTTATGGCTTAACCAAATGAAACTCATAAAACAAAGTCCAAAAATAGATGTTTTTGCTACGAGCTACTTAACCTCAAAAAATTAAACAAATTGATTGACCCCGAACTTTTTCATCAGATCATAGGTAGCAATGGGAATCACCCGCAGCAAATTACAAAATAAATTTCATGATTTGCACTTGGATCAGATTGGCCAAAACACCGGGATAAAAAATATCCTGAATCATCTATCAAAGTAGACGTGTAAAAGCTTACAAAACCTAATTTGGTCTCATGGGAAAAATCTATAGCGAGAAATGGAAATAACAATAGTATTAATAAATTAGCCACACGGGTATTCAGGAAATCTAAACAGTTAAAACGCAGGAAAAACAGTCTAAAATAAATGTACTAAATTGCTAGAAAAATAATTTGATCACGAAATTGTGGTTTATATTTTGGTATAAAAACAGATCAGGTCAATTTCCTTAATTGAATTATGGTATTTGTATATAAAGAATTAGCCGAATCTAAACTTATGAATAAGTAAAAGAAAAACTAGAAGTTAATATGCTGATTTCTTGAATTAGCTTAAACTTCTGATACAAATACCACTAGTAAAAACAATTCAATTATGGGAATTCGAAGAATTTGAAGAATTTTTTTTTTTTTCATTTGTTCACAAGATGAAAATTGTATAGCCTAGGCAAGCGTTTAAAGGCCACGGTTCGCCATTCGCAGGAGTTGATTTGGGTCTTTATATATGTATTTATAATAATATATTAATAGTCTTCAGAAGTACCAGAATATGAGGGAAATCGCATATAGGTATAATCCATTCGTATAGATCAAACAAGAATTTTCACATTTCTATACACGACTTTTTTTATATAATGACGTTTCTATATATGACTTTTCTACATAATGACTTTTCTATAAGACTTTTCTATTTATGTCTTTTCTATATATGACCTTTCTACATAATGACTTTTCTATAAGACTTTTCTATTTATGTCATTTCTATATAAAACTTTTCTATATATGACTTTTCTATATATGTCTTTTATATATATGACTTTTCTATATATGTCTTTTCTTTATGAATTTTCTATATATGTCTTTTCTTTATGAATTTTCTATATATGTCTTTTCTATATATTGACTAATCTGTATGACTTTTCAAAATGTGACTTTTCTATATGACTTTTCTATATATGACTTTCCTTGTAACTTTGCAACTTGCAGTTTCATGTTTACACTCAGAATCTAAGAATCAAACGATTCCCTTCAGACATAATTCAATTACATTCTACATTCAAAACCAGCTTTTAATCAAAGGATTTATATAATCTATCTATTTTCATTCATTTTCCTGTTCTACTTTCTCAAATATAAGGGCAAGATAATCATAAATATCCTTTAAAATATCTTCCATAATTAGCCTAGTCAAGATTTAGGTTAAAAGGGATACTACCTCTTAGAATGGAAAAAAAAGTTTAAAGTCTCAAACATGGTGTATATATTCATCAGTTGGACCTGCAGGTGCCATGAATAAGAATAAGAATAGAATCTCTGTACGATATCTATCAAACTAAATACGCATGTTTCTAAATAACTTCGTTTAATGAATTAGTGCTTAGTTTTATGATTTTTTTGGATTACAGTACTGAGATATTCTGTTATGACACCAGGTAAGTCCACTGATGAACAAAGACTGTTTAATCAAGTTTAAAAATTACAATTTATTGGTCATCTGAAGAGGTAGTATACCTTTAAGTGCAAGTATCTGCTTATAGGATGACCCAAATGTAGTCCATAAAAACCGTACCAGTGGGTTGAGGCATTCACACATAGAACAAGTTTGGCTTTATTGTCACTATAATTGCAAGAAATATTACAAAAAATAGTTATCTTATCGAACGATTAGGTAACTAGAATTGGTAATACTTTCAACCTTAAGGTTGAGTATTGTTACCTTTGGCAATTATTTTTATCTGTAGGTCACGGAAACATTGATAAATGCAAAAAAACATGATCAAACATATTGGTTTACTACAAGGAAAATTGGAAAGTTTTTAATATGATGAAAATATCAAATTTCAAGCAATTTTCATCGTAAGAACAATTTTTTTTCTTTGATAATATATCTTCATTGTTAGTTTCTTTTTCAACAGAATAAGATGCTATGGAATTCAATAACTCACTGAACAACATTTCAGCCAGAGGATATATACAATACATGAGAAATTCTGAGAACTATATTCTGTAATAACCACTCACACCACTCTTTACAAAAAGAGTAGATGCAGTGAAGTTTAACTGAGGTAAAAAGTAAGTATATGTTCAAGCTAAAACTCAGTTCTATAGATCGCCGTTTTTGGCCTTGAATATGTGTAAATAGTCTTAGAAGATCGCTTATTTCCTTCAAAAAAACACCAAACTAGGAATTTCTTATCTTCTGCCTGAAAACTATAATGCCTGAAAATTGTTTTTCTTGTTGAAAAAGGTCCTTGTAAAAAAATTTTTGATTATAGGCCTGCAGTCCTTAACCGTTTTACATTAAGGCGGAGTCTTGAAAAGGCGTTTCATAAGTGTTATTTTCAAATAACTGATAAATATGGATACACAAGACTAAGAAGGCTAAAATTTCGGCTATTACTATTGTTGATTAGTTTAACAATTGCCGTTTTTGAGACCAAAGTGTGATTGACCTTCGAAAATAGTGAACCATTATTTTAAAGATATCTCAACAGTCTATTAGCACAAGTTGGCATTTTCATAACCTTATAAGACAGATTGTTAAAAAAGGCCATAAATTTCCATATTGTCTGATAACGTATTGCTTCTAGAGCGTTCTTTCCTAAACGACCAATTTTATTCAATTTTGATATTCAAACCTTTTAATAGAAATGTTATATACATAATCTTACCTGGACATAATGACAGTAACACAATGCCCTTAAATAATAATTGCGTGTTGTAAATAATCACATATTAAGAATAATATTGAGAGGAGTTTTTAAAAGCTAATTGATCGGATATCAGATAATGTTCCACGGTGGCCATTGTCATTTTTTAATGAGGTATTTAGCTTGGTTAAGTACAAACAAGTGTTAAATGTCACTCGAGGGAATGGGTTTTTTTTTAAAGTTCGAAGTCCAAAACCAGGAAGAGCTTATAAAATTAAGAGTTGTGGTTGCTCTGTGAGCTATAGATGCTCTATACGACTAAAATGCAGATCAAGATATTTCGTTATGTTTATTTTTGTGGGTTACTTCGTCTACATCATGATTTGAAGACATTTATTGGAAAGCAAGTTCAACCAACTTTCGGTTATCAAATTATTGCATTGTTAGTCTAATAACCCACAGAAAATAAACGAAAGGGAAGATCTAGAGCTATATTTCAAGTTGGCAGTTCATCCAAGCTATTCGTCAAAGGTTAGAAATCCAAAATTAAAATGCTTTCTATTCAGAATGATTCCTATATCAACGAAAAATAGTTACGTACCTAGAACATTTCTCAATATACTTGAAATGAAACTTTGAAATTTTCAAAGTTGGAAAATTTAGATATCATCAGCCTAGATAACCCCGTCTACATAAGTAAGATTAATCTGAGGTTGTGAATAGACTAGGATATCAAGACATCCTTTAAAAAAAATGCGCTAAAAACACTTTGAATGTGTACGATAAATAATTACCTTTCTAAGCAGACCATTAACCTTTGAAACAGATTCTTCTCCACTGGATCTTTTACATAACTTTTATTGCAAAATCTGAGCACTTGTGTTCGATCACAGAATGAAACAGAAGTCCACAGAATTTTCTTTAACACTGAATATTAAAATTATCCGAGACACTTAAAAGCTCTTGAGGAAGTTCAACATGAAAATTGCATCAGAACATGCATTATAGATCATTTTCGAGAGCTACTTGTAAGACTTTAATCGTTTGTTCCGTTATTCATACGAGTTATAGCAGATGATTTAAAATTAAACAGAATACGCACTGGATAATTTCTCAGAAGATTTTTATCACTTTCATGAATTTTTTGACAAAAAAACGCCAAACGGCTAGAGAGTTATAATCGAGAATATGAAGCAATATACAGTATACACAAGTTATTTTGAATTGTTTGTCCTGACGGTTCCAATATTTTAGCTAACTTGTATATTGCACATCAATATGCGCTAGAATTCTTCTAGAGCGCCTTTAGCTCTGGAATAACGACACATCCGAAGATAGGAAATGTAATACGCAAAATTACATTATATACACAATATATTTTTTATGATGTTTTTTAAAATCCTGTATTCCAATAACTTAAATGGTTAATTGTTTAGTGTATATTATTACAGATGACCAAAAAAATGCAGTAATTGATCCTGACGAACAAGTGGTCCAATTTCAATATCCCAGATAGTTAAATATGAAATAGATACAGTTAGTAGATTCGACAGTTCTTACCACTTCGTTACCAGTAATAAATTGTATATGTTAACACTTATTTTATCTTTGAAGGCATCCATCGGCGTGAAAATAAATCTCTTTCACGGTTCTCACCATACTTTGTTAGTTCTAGATATATAACTTTATCTCTCTTCCGTATTCCTTGTTACACTTGAGTGTCATAGTCCGAATTAGTCTTATCACTACGTCAATGAACTCTTCATGCGAGATTTTCATACTAAATATGAACCCTACATACGAAATATGGTATAGTCCGAATAAGTCTTCAATGAACCCGTCATACGAAATATCCCGTCATATTCTGAATTAGACCTGTTACCTCTTCAATGAAACATTCATACGCAACAACCATACGAAATGTCGTGTCATAATTCGTCTTAATTTAGTCTTATAACCACCTCAATCAATCCATGAAACGAAATATCCATTCGAAATGTCGTGTAATAGTCCGAATTAGCCATATTTGTTCAAATAACCCATTCAATCGAAATATTCATGCGAAATATCAGCTGGTGTACTCCAGCTGACAACTATCAAAATATCCATCAGAGGCTAGAATAGAGGCAGATGTTTCGGACTAGGTCGTTGGTCGGTACGGTCAGGGTTTTTAGTCCAAGTGTCTTGAAGCACGGGGATGTTTGGTTAATGTGGTACTTTCCATGCCCCCTATTACATCAAGCCTCAAAACCGTCCGATAGTGTTTTGACTCTGAACTTATTCATTTGAACAACTTTTGTATAATTATGTGACTTTAGTTGATTAAATATTAGAATATGCAAATTCCTAGACGATTCAAAACATAAGGGTAGAAAACTCCACTTTATTCAAAGTTAGTTTAAATCTTAAGAAATAAATACCATCAAAAATAATCTACTTACCTACATAGATAAATCATAGATTTCAATCAAAACGCTTCATTGACCACATATTGAATTCTGACAGTTAGAATAGCTCGGATTATATTTTACGAGTTTATGACACTATTGAACTATAAAACAAGTATAAATGTTGTGAACCATTTTCTCTTATAGTGATTGATATAGCCACATAATGTAATCAACATAAACTAAAAACTGCTCAGTTAAAGGATGCAAACCATTTTAGAAAAACGACTATGTTCTGATTTGTAAAAAGAAACAGTGACAAAAACTAGCTATCCTAATAGATGACAGATTAAATATAGTTTGTCCGCTAGCAAGGCCTTTTGAATTTGGGAATCCCTGGCTATGCATAGATTTGGTACGGTTAAAATTAGTCTCCGACACCCAGACTTCTCCGATGTCCGACAAGGATATTTCGATTGTTCTTTCAAATTGCATAAAATGTAGCATTTAAGCCATTTATGTCCAAAATATGTACACCCGGACTCTCGCCACGAAGGGACACCGCCCAATTCTGCCCCAAACACCCCGCCTCATGCATGTTCTAGATACACCCCTGTCAGAGACAATCTATCAGAGATGCCCCCTTTAAATAATTTATGCTATTAATATTCCACACTGGCTAATGAATAACATAAAACATTTTATATAGCAAGGGAGGATTTTCTATAACATTCAATCTATCACAGAGCTGAATAGATTTTTTTACCAATTTCTTACCAAGATATTGACTTAGAAACAATAAATATTTTGTTTCCTGTTTTAAGCTGGAATTGATGACAGCAATTATGCTTTCAAATTCGATCATTATAGTCTGTTGTGATAAAGAAAAATCTATGATCCATGACATTTGCTATAGGCCTACCATTTCTTTTCGCGCCATTGGTAACTTCTGGAGGCATTGGTAGCTTCCGGCGCCATTTGTAACTTCCGGTTACAAAATCCATGCCCAACATAACGTAACATGGGCACTGAAAGCCACAGAGAACTTCCCTGGCAACTTCCTTAGGCAAATAAGTGTTGTGAATGTGGCGTTTGTAAGCAGTTTTATATTTGATTATTTGGTTTTTCTCAATATCTTGAAAAAAATCACGACATGCTTTGGTACTAAAAGTTTTTACACGGTTGCTGATACTGATTTAACCCGTGTCTGGTTTTAAAGGTTAACGACGGGAAAACGATTAGTTAAAATTACAAACTTTATACAGATGTAATGAAATGTGTTATGTGTACTCCGTTCATTGGCGTGCATACTTTTCATATATCTCTCGAAATCGAAAGAAGGTTGGTTGTAATTGTGCAGCCGTGACATTAGATTGTGGCTTGCTGTCTTTGATTTTTGTACAGGATTGTGATCTCGTTTTCCTTCTGGTGTGTTTTTCCTGCTTAAAGCGCAGACAATAATCAATTTATGATATATTTATGTGGTCGAAGGGAGATCATTTCATATTTATTTTGGTCTGTAGTCATGAACGTCACATAGTGTGTAGTATTTGTCTCTAATATTTTAATAATGATGAATCACCTACTATCAATTCTAAATTCATTACAGTTTCACTACACAGCCTTCGAAGGTTGATATTACTATTATCAATGTCGACAATTTTATTGATGTATTCAAATATGACAAAAAGCAGAAGAAGCCATGACTAATCATCAGTTTCTAGGAAAAATTAGTTGAGGGGGCAGACTGAGCAGGGGCCAAAACAATTTTCCAGGAGGGCAATGGCTATGCGTTCACTATGTAAATTGACAATAATTTTGAAAGTGAAGGGCCAAAGCCGGGCCAGTCGCTTTGCATGCCCCCAGCTCCCTGTACCCCCATGTAGAAACGCCAATGCTAAGCATATATGGGGCAATTTTTTTTAAACTCAGATCGTGGTGGTTGGTGAATTCACACTATAATCTCACCTGCGCCTTATTCACTCATTCAAAAAGTACCACGTTCATCCTAACCTAATGTATAGTTTTATTACAAGATAAACTGTGTGGTATATATATCTATCGCAAAATCATTGTTGATAAGATATAATACAAAGGAGCTTATACATGATACGCTTAAAAGATATGATTTGGGCGAAATTTCTGCCATACCACCGCGGCACCGCCATTTTTATTGGCAACACTGATTTATTGTAGAAGTTACGATAGTCTAAGATTCCATATCGTTGCTTCAAAACCCGAACCCGAAATGGGTCAAGTGAATTAGGTTGAATTAAGTTCTATCAGCTGAGATCGTAGAGCTCAAAATTAAACTACATCCATTTTGGTTTTAAAATGACGTACCCTGCATGCACTCCTTCATTTAAGAGAAGAACCCTAAAAGCAATATCTGTCAGGAGCTAATTTTGATGAACAAATGATTTGTGATTGTTTCCAGGATGGTAGACGATAAAATTGACTTCTAGCTACTTTATATACTTGTATAAAATCACAGTCACTCAGGTGATCCTACAAAATATCAATTATTCATCATGATAGCACTATTAAAATTACTATTATTTTTAGATTTAACAATTTCCTTCTTTTTCCTTAAATTTTTGTCTCCATTGTAATCGAACAGGTCTCCACCACCGTCGCGTTCTTATGACGTTATTTGAAACCAATCAAAGTGTGTAATTTAGGACCCGTTTTTAGAGCAGACAGTTAACTTTCCCTTATTCAAACAACCACCGAGAAGAATTTTACATAAGTCAAGAACAATTTTTGATACCAAGGGTTTAAGATTGGAACTGACCTGTTTGTTTTTAGGATCTACATCATCTGGTAATTCAGATCTGGTAAGTATGAATGGATCATATTTTATTTTAGATACGTGGTCCAGATCATCAATCTACAATGAAATATAAATAAATATAGTTACATTCAAGTTGAAATTCATCTTTGTTTGTTCATGATTTTGATATTGTTCATAACATTATTTTCAGCCACTAGGAAAAACAGAAAAAAGAAAAAAAGTTGACTTCGTTTGAAATCATATCGAATATCACATTTGCTTTCTGAAAAGTGCTATTGGCAGACTGTATCCTTTTTATATTTATATCTTAAGATTACTTACATCTACATGAATATGAATAATAGCATTTTCTTGTCGAACCTTTTTTCGAGAAAGCTCATAATTTTCTATATTCTGAAATTGTAAAAGAGACGCTTTCCAAAACTATCTAAAAATAGCAAGACGTTTGTGGCAGAACTAAACTTGGTATTAATGTTAAACCTCAAATTACTCAACAACACCATTGATGTTGAGCTTTTAGAATAAAGGATCTCGCATTTCATCAAGCTTAAGCAAAACGCAACCAATGCGTGTACAAGTTTCAAAAAATTTTTCGGCATGTGACCCGAATTTTGATGTCACGTTTTTGTTTTTCGCTCATATCAGCGCTCATTTTGTGTTAAGTTACGTTCTGGTACACGTGGTTTGTGACGGTGCAATATCTTGCGTTAGGTGCGATGGACATTCGTCTGTTACAAGTGCGTTTTGACTCTAAAATTGAGGTTGTTCTTACAGTAGAGCATATTATGGAAAGTTTCTTCAACTTACTCCATATCCGTTATCTAACCACGACGAAAATATATTCTGAAATTTAGCAGGCTCTGAATGTTGATGAATGTACCAAATCTCTACATTCTCTTCTTTTCTATCGGCCAAATCTTGTTTCAGAAATTCCTGGAAATACATCAGATATCTTGATTGCGAGTTATTGGATCTTAAAGATTAGTCGAAAAGTCAAATATTAGAACCCATGCATTATTGTGGATCTCATATGAACTCACACGAAAGGAAGATTGTAACCGAAAGTAATTAATTTTTTTAGCTTTATCTAAAGTTACAAATGCCATACTATGAAATTATTAGATAATTACTGGGTATACTTACGAGTAAAAGTTGAGTAATTTTCTGTTTATTTTCTTTACTTGATTTCATACCACACCACACTATTATCTGAAATATTATGTACATGATAGCTAGGAGACGTGAGCTCGCACGTCTAAGCATCAACCTTGATACTTTACTAACAATCTTTTTTATAAAACAAAATATGCCTTCCATAAGCTTTCTCTTTTTAAAAGACAAGATGTTTAGCGTTTTAAGGCTTGGTTGACCATCATGAATAGCTGCCCGGTGTAGCACTTTGCTTTATCGATTCTGGATGTTCATGTTCTTATGTTCTTTCACAGATAACAGATGACTTACCTGGTCAAACAGGTCCACAATATATATGTTATCTTCTGTTAAATCCTGAAAGAAACAAGTAGCATCCCCATCAACTGTAGTAATCCACAGATGTAGGTTGAGAAGAGGGGGATTGTCGGCAAGGGTATTTTTGGAAGCCATGAAAAACCACTTAACTACTAAGTGGCGTCATCTTATTTTGTCAGGTTAAAGCTTTATTTGTCCTTCGCTACTTCCTAACCATGCTGTAAAAAAATATCGAAGGCATAATGACTTCCAGTTCATCTAAAACGCCCGATATATTCGACGTGGTTGACGTTATAATGTTAATTTAAACGAAAAACTTTAAAAGCTCGTTTCATACCAATTGAGAGAAATTAACAATTTCCATTACACTTAGGTGTTGAAAACAACAGTGATAAAGACGAGGCAATCTTCTACCATATTCTACTTTATTTCTTAGTGGTAAAACATCAGATTGTGTTTTAAATAAATCCCAAAAATAACTTGTCTCGGTTCCTTCCAACATGATGTCAAATGTATACATTCTGCAAAATAGTAACATGAAGACGAATAAAAAGGAAATGTTTGACAGGAAAATGAAAAATATAAGTCGTTTGCCCAAAATTTGTCTGACTGACGCCTTAATATAATGATTTTTTATGGTTATCAAGCCCAAAGAGGGAAGAGGCAAGCAACCTCAATACTACAATCACGTTGATGGTAACTTGAATACTACGCTGCTACTCCATTACCTTGATCTTAATATTACAACTAAATAACCATTTCACTCACCTCCAGAGTACCAGAAGTATTACACCAACCTTCTACCTTACATTGATAACAAATGATGACTGAAATCCTTAATCACAGTACGATTACTACGGTGGATATAAAATGCTAATATTGATGGTAACCTAACTGGTATGTAACTGTAATACCGCTATGGTAACAGAAATACTACATTACCATACAATTACTACGGTGGATAAAAGAAATGATATTTGATCATAGTACTACAATTACCTTGATGGTAACAGAAATGCTAAAATTGTTTTAGCATATTCCCTTTCTGCTCCGCCTGATTCTTGACCAAACCATAAGAAACAATCTACGTCTGATAGATAAATGATTACCGCGGACTGCTTAAGGTAGACTTTATTTGGTACAACCTATGAATAACAAATTCAAAATATTTGTAAGTCAGAAAAAGCAATTGGTTAAAGGTACACGAACTTGATCTAAAATACCAAAAACTTCTGAATATAATATTTCTCCTTATTGTAACAGTATGTACCTACCTGTGTAACTTTCATACTGCCGTTTTCTAATTCTTTAACTACAAACATTTGTTCATCGTTCTCGACCCTCTTTAACCGACTTTCATACTACAATATTAAATACTCTTTTTATAAGATTTTATAGTTAAAAATGCACCGAATAATAATGCCTTCTTTAATCCACAAAGGAACATCTGGCACTCGGACACTACTGCCTAACGGTAAGGTATTCCAACCACTGATCATTGTTTCAAATGAATCTTGGTGCAATAGTAAAGTTCTAAGATCACAGCTTAATTGAAATGAAACTATACAATTGGAGCATTGATGTAAAATACTTACCACTATCATACTGTGTTGTAATACAGTCAAGAAATGCAGTGGTTCTTTACCATCTAGCACACGAATCTAGAAGAGAAAATATAAGCTTATGCAGAGCCTTAAAATTGTTCAAGTTATTGGAGTGGCAGTAATCTAAGCGGCGGTCTACGACCGCTGGAATTGAGAATTACACTGTGCAAAGTCTTTAAATTTACAAATCAAAAGATGTGTTTTGATGTTTGATCAATTTCGGAGGAGGCCACGAATGGGTAATGTCGACTTTTTAGTATTAAGTTTTAATTTTTTTAGTATCCACAAGGATACAATTTCCAACTTCATGTGAAAAAGGTTTTATCAGGTTGTCGAAAATTCACCAAGAAATCGACTAAATTCAATAATGCCGAATCATTAGAAGAATATCCATCTAATTATATTGCAGTCTGGCGTCATCAATACACAACGCTGGTTTCGTTACCAATTGCCAGAGTAGGCATGTAATGCGGATCTGTATCGATGTCGAATGATAGTTCAAAAATAATATAAGTAGAGTCTATATAGTTACCACTGTGGCTTTATGCTGCATAGATTTATTAATGGATTCACTCAATTTGACGGCAGCTTTCTGATCTGTACTTGTAGAATTATAACCCTATAAAGAAAGATAGTGAACATGATTCCAAAATCCAAAATAGAAAAGCTAAAGAAACACAAATTTGGCTGTTAAGTCCTTTATCCTCTTCTAGTTGCTTATCAAGTAACTGACCGAAATATTTGTGATGTTTTTTTTTGTAGCCAACAAAGGACCGAGAATACTTACCAGCCAATAATAAAGTACATGCTGAGAACAACCATTTTTCATAGTACTATATAGTATAATATAACATAAACCATTGGTAAAAATACCATGTCTGTCCCATGGTACTACTATCAAATCATTATCTTTAATATACCATATCTAAAATAGTCATTGCATTTATATTATCACGTTGGATAAAGCATTAGTGATGTCATCAAACATTTAGTTTTAGTGGAATTGCGGGAACCACAGACGTCTGATTTAAATCGTAATGGCGCAAATTGATGCTATGACTGTCCCCGATACAGATATTTTTTTTTTGAGAAAACTTCACAAACTGATCATATTTTTGATAAGCAAACAATAATTATTTTATTTAATGATAAATATTCAAAGTTTCAAAGAAATCCTCCGTAACTTTTAAAGCAACCTAACCACATCTTCACAATGTTCAGCTTTTACGAACTTCGTCTTATACCTTGACCAAAATAGCCACCTCTCTTGTATCATGGAAGTTTATCAATGCAGTAATTATGTCGAGGGCTCTGATTGGCTGTATTTGCTAGCGTACAGCCGTACATCCCACCCAATCCCTGCATTCCGTAATACAACAAAGATGGCTGTTGCAGTCAAGATATCAGACTAAGTTCGTAAGATTTCTTAAGATGTATAGAGAAACAATTACTAAATACATTCTGGGGAAAATTCGAAAAGAGTACCTGTGTTTCACCATCATTATTTACAAGATCGTCATCCAAATTACAGTAGAACTCTTCTATAGGAGAAATATGATATGATCTGTCAGACCTCGAGGACCTTAATCTACCTGTAAACGAATTCAGAAGATTTAAGAAATCTTGAAATAGAATGTCAATTAAATGGTACAAATACAAGTATGAACGATTTAAATACAGTAAATAATATCTTTTATTATCATCAACAAGCACTTTCATAGCACGCATATTCCTACAGGAATGAAATACTACTATCTTTGAATGTTCTGCTAGGATTTGGACACGTAGCAAGAAGGCCCAAAAACGCGTTTTGAATAATAACATTTTGAACAATGGCAGTTTGCTGTGGTCAAATTGAACTCATGAATAACAACGTTTTCACGTTTATAGTTTAAGGTAAACTTAGACGCAAAAATGGGAATAATTTCGCATCATTCTTAGACTAAACAGTAGATGGACTTGCTTTAGGAATGAATTTTGTCCTAATCAACATCCAGGAGTCTGTTCCTGTTTCTTCGAAAATCTAGAGAAGTGTAGTAACAAACAGAATCACATTGTTCCATACCTGTACTTAGACATGTTGAAGGTCTAGATTTTGAACGGTTTCTGTATCTCACTACACTTTCTTGCCAATCTTGAAAACATTGTTTAAACTCTGCTGTCTCCCATCCCTCTCTAACACGACATAAAGAATTTATACTAGGATAGTCATGATGATTACTATATGTCTGAAATATTTAGAGATAAAATAAAAAGCTTCTGTCGTTGTTGAAACTTGTTATGTCTATAAAAGCATCATTAGAACAGATGGTTTGAAACATACTTGATGAAAATATAGGCCACGACCGTAGCTACGGCCGAAATGGATTGACCCTTGACAAAATTGTAACAACCGACTCATTCCATCACTGTAACTAAACTCCATTGCCTCTCCGAATATATTACTTGCCCCACTGGACAATCAAGTCTGGCTACGGCACCGCCAAAATATTATGCTATGAAGCATTAAAGGGACAGATGTGCCATTTTTGGGGGTTGATTATAGTCTTGAATATCATGTAAATAGTCTTCAGAAGTACTAGAAAATCGCATAATTCCTTTAAAAATACGTCAAACTAGGAATTTTACTCACTATTTCTTTATATGTCTTTTCCATATTTCACAGAATATCTTAAATTGACGAGTCGTCATGGATTTGGAGGCTAAAATTTCGACGGTAAACCGTGATCACTATTACTGATTGCCTAGGCTAATACAATCTCGTTTCTCGACAAAAGAATGATTGGTAAAAAAAATGGCGCATCTTGATTTTGATAACCAGCTGAGTTCCCTTTGACCACCCAGTATAGTTCATAGCTTTCTTGTACTTGTAATCAGATTAACCTGAGTGTTATATTCGGTGGTAATAGAGTGTACATATATATTCTAATCCTCGCCAACGCATATCGAGTTGCTGCTTACTGATATATAACTCCTGGCGACTTACCATAGCTCTTGAAATAGCATTTGATAGATCTTTAGATGCTGCTTGATGACCAACCCAGACATAAATACAGCTATCTGGTCCACTGTCTAACAGGTAACTATCCTAAAATATCAAAAAATGAATATTGATGAAATTAGTTAGTAACGACCATTGGTATGTAACAATCATACCTCTCGCCTTTCAGATCAGAACAGAACCCCAGCAGTTCTAGACCGTTTATTTCAATTTCTTGATGAACTATTTGTTCCATTCCAAACCCACCCTTCAACGAAATCAAATACTGGTATGTACATATCAATAAAGCATCGTCTTTTGTTTTGCAGGAAACTTGGCAAAAGTGATATTTTATGCCTGTCCCTAAACGTGCCGATATCACATCCGTATATTACATCTGAGGAATGGGTTGGGCTAGATTTTCTAGATTTGATATACTCACTTTAAGAACTAAATATTTTTGTTTCAAAGGCTTAGATGAAACCACAGGCATGTCATATAAAACTCTTTCTCCGCTTAACCTAATAGTAATGAAAATAAAAAACAGTTATACGCTAACAATGAATATACAAGACTTTATAGTAAGGATATATTATATTGAACAGAGTTTTGGATTGGCTGAATATCATATGACCCTGAACATGTAATGCATAACAATTTTGTCAGATAATGAGTTACAATTCAACAGCAGACATGACACAAAATGAAAGTCCTGAGTTGCATTTAAATTAGTGGAGAAGGTTAGAGACAGAGGCACATCAATCCAATGTCCCGTCATTTTATACTGCGATCTCTACAACATCATTTTCATTTCATAATTTTCATCAATCAAATTAGTCGAAAAGTTTAACATTGACCAATCAAATTAGAAGACTCGTTGGATCTAGATTTCGTGATACTTTATTGTCGATCAATCATGTATATCATTACATACCTATGAAGAATGGGGTAGTTTGTCTGGACATCAACAGGGATAGGTTCAGGATCAGATGGCGGTAAGAACTTAGATTTTAGTTTCTTCTTGAATGCTTTCTCTGCTGCAGGATCTGATGAGTCTTTAAAAAAATACAATCGACATACATGTATGACAATAATGACATGACATATACAAATGGCCGCTTAGTAAAGGTGGTCGCATGAGCAGGATTCACTGTACTAAAACCGCCGGGTCAAATTAAAGAATAAGAAATATGTACCAACAACTATTAACTTTTTTTTTTCAGGTGCTTATACTTTATTGCATTCTTCTCAAAAAAACAGACAAAGACAATATATATACTCTATAGTGGGAGTATTTTGGGCTGTATTTATTTAGCATAATATGTACTATGCCCTTTTCAAATCAAAGATCCCGATTGAAAAAAAAAATAATATAGCTATATGGAAATACAAGAAGCCGTGAAACATCGGCATAATATTCTGTGATTGTGAAAACGAAAAAACTGCCAGGGAAAATTGACACCTCCATATCCAATACTAGCAGATTACCCATCTTGTGGATATACAACACTTACCAACTACAATTATGTGCACTTTTCCTTTTCTTTGACTCCATCTCATTTTTCTGGCCAGCTCTATCACCTGCACAAGAAACATAAGATTTTGAATAAGAATTAAATAAATAAAATTCATGTTAATCAGACACAACTAAGTAGGTTGACAAGTGGGATCTTAAGGGGAACTCAGGTCGACCTTCCGACTGGTGGCATCTGGAAGAGTGGCCAATAATTGGATCTAGCTGCTTGTGTTATATGTTCTATTAACTGAAATTCTTAGTCAACCTGAGCGGTCTCAATCTAAGTGGTAAGTGATGTTTTTCCAATTACTTTTCTACTTTCTTTGAATAGCAACTACCTTTATTCTTAAGTTGAAAGGGCACATATCTCCAATCCAAACATACATTCGTGGAAAATTATCTAAAATGGCAGCACCTTCTGGGTTTAACTCTTCTATTATCGGTTCGGCCTGGAAATTGAAAGTGAAGTTAATAAACATAGTTCTGGAAACAAAACCTTGGTTTAAAGATAAGGCGGATTGCTTTGAAATATGACAGGTTAGGAACTAACAAATCCAGGCTGTTACACTTCAAACTATCCTTGAATCAAACTCTGTCTAAGATATATTAAGGAAAATTTGCACCTTTCGTCAATAAGTTACGTACATTAGTATACAATAAAATGATGTAGCATTTATAATCTAAAAGTAAAACGACTCACACATTGTGCACGAACATAGTCTCTTCCATAGACTGTATACAGTTTTTTGACGTACTTGGCTGCTTTTATTGGTACAGTTTTCGGACTACCCTCAAGATATCTGGAACGAGTAATGAGTTGTTTGTTTGTTTGTTGATTGATTGAATTCAATGTCAACCTATTGTATCAAAGGTTAGATTTCGAATATGCTTATACACCCTTGACAAATCCGTATGAGAATACCAGTAATGTAGTAATGGTAGTTTTGATGTCCATTTTCAATGGTAGTGACATTGGAATTGACGTGAATATCAAATACAGTTATTACTCCATAGATAAAGTGTCGATATTCAACTATGAGGTCTTCAATAATATCAGCAAGGTCAGCACAATGAATATAAGCTATACTTACACGATTCCTTCAGGAAATATACACGTGAAACAATTGGATTCATATCCTTGGTGCTGAAATTAAACAACAATCTTTGTTTTAAATAAAATCTGTTCAAATCAGTAATAGACTACTAATAGGGGTAATGCTCCGTTACAAAATCTGAAAAAAACCTTTCGTCTCGTTTCTAAATTCCTTGCCTGAGTTTACCATTAAGACTTACCTGGAAAAGTGTGCCTTTGGGCGTGCATGGATAAACAAAATTCAGAACGCTATTGACCGTCCAATTCTGTTGGGAGTAAGTTGTCCCCACAAAGTTATCACGCAAATAGAGACCGATAAAGCTTAAATCCATTTTAATTTCAGTTCCTTGCCTTTGATTATAACATACCTGTACAGACAAAATATGGCAACCACCAAGTTGTTCGTCTAACGCATGAACTCTTTCATGTCCCGTATTTTTATTCACCTATAATTAAAAATAGACAGTGTATCGAATAGGAAATGATCACCAACTATCAATGACGCCATTTCTAGAAACTTCAGAAAGTGACAATTAAAGTTCAGTGTCCGTGACTAAGGTTTTTCAATTTCAGAAGATGTTGGCATACCTTAGTCCGAGACGATGCTGATGATGAAGACAGACTATGATGTTTGATTGTGAAGCCGACGGCATCGAATTTTTCATTTTTAATATGAATGATGATACTGATCGTGATGAAGGTACCGATGATGTCAATGATGTTGATTCTGATGCTGCCAATGATGCTGAGGTTGATGAAGGTACCGATGATGCCAATGATGCTGAGGTTGATGAAGGTATTGATGATGTCAATGATGCTGAGGTTGATGAAGGTACTGATGATGCCACTGATGCTGAGGTTGGTGAAGGTACTGATGATGTCAATGATGCTAATGCTGCTAAAGATGATGTTACTGATGTATAATGGTGGCCTACTCGTAGCTGATAATGTCAAGGATGATTATGCTGTTGACAGTTTTAGCAAAAAAAAATGAAAGAGCACACCTCTGAAGAAAGACGTCCTCTCCACACATGTAATGATTTGACATTTTCTATATTAACCTGTAAATAGATCGAAGAAGGTAAATATGAAAAACTAAATATATCTCCTTCTTTTGCTGTAAAGAGCAAAATGTTACATCACGTTGTAATTTTCTTAGCGGAAGTGACGTTAATTAAAATGCAAACGATCTGGGAATCTCGACAGTCATGTTGAGGTTGCTGTGGATTATAGAAACTACCTGACTGTAATTGGCACAATGATATATTTTGAGGAGATGTGACGCTTGTTTGAAAGTTAGTGAGAATTTTGACAGTCGCCAAATTTATGTATTGGGGACTCTCTATGTGCACTATTCCGTTTATTTTATTTAAAAATCTGCGATATCAGCTAAAGCTGGAAACTATCTGATTTGGATCCTATTTTGAACCAGATACAACGCTAAAGGAACCTGTTTACGTTGACCAGATTCTGAACTCAAAGACGAAAGAAAACATTTGAATAGTTACCTTTAGTGTAAATATTAAAACCACGTTCGTTGGACAAAAAAAAAAACCAAATAACAGAACGGTGACACATGATACATTTACGATAAGAACACTTTGAATAATTATATAATTGCGACAACTTACATTTAATATGACATAGACACCATACTCGTGAAAAAATCCATGATCATTTGCGTCTACTGTGACCAATTTCTCGTTCTACAATAAGAAATGCGTATAATATAACAAAGGATATTCAAATTAATTTCATATTTTGATAGCATGTAGTGAGTTATATTTTCTGTAATCTCAAAGTTGTTAGTCTCAAGGGGAATAACTCACAAACCGTTCAGCAAAAAATCGTGAAAATCAAACTTATCGAAAACTTTATCATTTCTATTTCTATATATGTATGTCTTTTCTATATACATACTTTTCTGGACACATAACATGGACTTAAAGGTTAAAATTTCGAAAGTGAGCTGTGAACACTATTACTGATTAGCTTAACTAATTTCCATTTGCTGAGATTACTAAGGTAGCCTACGACTGGTCAAACGGACGTCGAATCAGTCTCTTTAATTAAGCGAGTCGGGGATACAATTCAATTCAGTTTTAGAATTAAGCGATTTCGGCTGTAAGTCTTAACATGGTCACTATTTTACTGAAATATTGGTGTAAATGGTTTGAAGTCACTTACCTTAACCCTCCAAACAGTTAATCCCCTCTTATTGGGATTTAAATCTGCCCCTAATTCCATTTTCTCAATATTCGAGTATAACGTCTCCAATATAGAATATCCATAATTCGAACAATCTGAAACTAAGACGCGAAGCTGGAGTTAAAAGAAAATATTAGGCTCATTCAACTAAAACTACAAAAAATCTTAAAGAGATTTATTCGTCTAAATATCTCCATTTACATATGACAGAAATTTTAATAACCCGTAACACTTGTCAAAAGTAAGGTTCGGTTAGAAAAATCAAAATCTTTAACATAACTGAAAAGTATTGCAGAGAATCTCTTTTGATTCAGTTTTTTCGAGATAACTAAAAAAACGCCTTTGGTTTATTGAACTGTGAAACGAAATTCCATATTGTTGATGACATCACAAAAACCATATTCCTATAGCATATTTTCTCCTCTTATTTAAGACCGAATAAAATTCTATAAGTTTAAAAATATGAAATTTGCTTACAGTTTCGACATAGCTTTAAGTTGTTATAACCGAAAATTAATTGGTTTATCCCAATTTTGGCAAAATTTCAATAAAAAATATCAAATTCATTCCCGATCAATCAGAAATTTAATACAAGCAGAACACCTAATGTGAATTAACCTCGTATCTAACTATGTAATTATTCAAACTGTATATTATAGGTTATGTCTATTTTGTTATTGTTAACTAGGACAATTGTTATGGAGACTTATATAAAGTGTTTAAAGGATCGAATATGATCTATTTGACATAATTAACCTAATCTTATATCAGATTAATCAGTGTTTAAACATACTATAGATGTTTAAAGTTTTATTCTGAATGGGTAGTCCGGAATATCATTATTGTTACGGTCCCGATATATTGCGTTTCTTTGAAGGTATATTGCCTAGTGAATATTCTCTTGGAGAGATATACATGTAGTTGTCATTTTGTTTTATCTGTTTGGGTTAACCAGGTGAGACAGGTAACTATATGGAATGTTCGCTTAAACTGGTGATAATTTTTTTAACCTACAACGTAACACTTCTCAAATGGAAATCTGGCCTCAATTTCGCTTGTAAATAGAGATAAGCAATGATGAATGACTACGTATACCAGCTTCAGAAAATAATAATGAAGTTTCTCAAATCTTACACTGACCTCATTTCAATGATTTTCAACGACCCATTTTAAGCTAATGAGAAAAATCACTGGTTAAGGACGGCAGGTAATTAAGAAATGTATGCTCAAGAATTATCAGATCACAGAAAATGTGCATGAACACAAGATGTCGTCCGTGTAAATTATGAACCTCTCTTATCAATTGAATTGAGTCAGATATACGGACTATACAAATACAATAGACTGAATAATCTATTGAAGGATTTGTATTGGCACGTATATAAGTAGGGTTGTCATACTATTATATATTGCTGTTATTTGTTATAGGTGTGGTCAAGTATAGTTTTGTGATCAACACCTTTTCAATAGTCTAGCAATTAATACATACCATTTTCAATCATTTTGTCTATCACGCAGATTGAAGTACTCAAAAATGCAAGTTACAGTTACACAAAAGCATAACATATTATACAAATATGCTGTGAAATTACTAATTTTTGTTGGTTTTAACGGTTAAATCCGTCGATTTATATTCGTAATGACGAAAATTTTGATTATATTACATATATTGGGACATAAAAATTTTAATTTGACGATGAAGTTGAGAGTAGGCCTAGCCTATATCGTTAACACTTTATACAAACGTCCATGCAATTGCGTTAAAACCTTCCTATGGCATTATATGACGAAGCCGTCGAAGGAAGAAATGGGGTGGAGTCGAGTGTTATAAGGTATGGTATAATGGCCTACAACTACCTGAATCTGAAGAACTACCACAGTCTTTATCTGGCATCTTTAATCTTCTTCCTTAATCTCATTAATCCGGTAATCTACATCAAGATAATCCAGTGGAAATTTTACCGTTCCTAACTAATCTTGCTTACAAAATATTCGAAATAACACATTCGATTTCACCTAAGATTCTGTAAGCTATAAATCAAGTATTGTTAGTCTGATATACAAGGTCCCCGCACACAGTTGGTTGTTTCGCGAAAATCGACCATGTCATACCGAAAATTTGGTTTGGCCTATCAATCAAGCCATGGCTGATATCCTATAAGTAGACTAATAAGGCATCGACGCCAGTGACAGAAACAATCGAAATGCGTCACCGTATCTCTATGGATCGTTATTGTTTCCGATGTACTGTGTACGCAACGTGGCCTCGAGTCGGATAATAGACAGCCATGGACAGTGCCTGTTAGTGAGTACTGACCAAATCGGCAAACGAAATGAAATGAATGGAGTTTTACGTCCTACTTTTCTGCACCATGTGGGCTAATGAAGACAGGCAATGCCATGCAGGGTACAATGAGAGAAATTTTATCGGGACAACGGCATTAGCCTGCTCTTTGTCTATTTCCAACTGTCGAAGGACTTTTCCATGTCAGCCCCTCTTACATTCATCACTGACACTAAAAAATCCAAACCGGTATCGTCTCGACCTATGCTGGGATTGAACCTCGGACCTTCAGTTTAGCGAGCAAGCGTCTAACTCACTGAACCACCGCGGCGCAAAAGGGTAGTTATGCCAAAACCTTTGGTAAGAGTGATATATTTTTTTTGAGCCGATGGCTTTAACGAGCCACAATAAAAGAACACAACTTGACTCCATGTGCCCATATACCATGTTTCATATGCCACAGTGAAATTTTGAACTTGGTGTGTGAACGGGCCTTTACAGGTGCAGGTAATTACAAATCGATACATAGATTTTACATTATGTATTGGTTTTATTTACTATCGTATAGAAAATCCATAATTCATACACACGAATACAAAGTGTCGCCACAATGGAACGTCAACTATACATAAAGACACATTTTCATTATTGGCAATATAAAAGTAGTAGATTTTCATTCTGTGTCGATGAATGAACCTTTGTTTGGATATCTTGATAGTACACCTTTAATAGCTGTCTGCTTTTGGTGTCTATCAGGACGAGAGTAACTACTATGAACTTCAGAGGGTTATTTTTATTGTGTTTATTGGTTATTTTGCTTGAATCAATTGCATAGGTTGAGATGATACCTTTGGATTTTTCAACCCCCGTCAGTGATGCATGAAAGAGGGGCTGACATGGAAAAGGCGTTGTTTGGATGGGACAATAAACTGAGGTCCTGTGTGCTACAGCCTGTGCATGTTAAAGATCCCTCGACGGTTGGAAATCAAAAAGAGCAGGCTAATGCAGCTGTCCTGTCAAAATTTCTCTCATTGCAGACTGCATGACGTTGCTGTATTCATTAACCCAATTAGGTGCAGAAAAGTAGGACGTAAAACTCCATCAATTGCAGATCTCTGTAATCAGAATTTACATGACTGTATATTGAAAAAAAAAACTCTCACATGGAAAGTAATAGTAAAAAAAAAACGAAACAAATGTCAGTAAAATGAACCTTTATTTTTTTTAGCCCTATTCTCTGTTTAGTTGACATCTTCTGATTTATTTTGTTCTTGAATTAAATTCTGAAATACAAAAATATTCATCTTTGTATCATTTACAAATAAAGCAAGAAATATCTCTTCAGCTAGGAGTATAGCAGTCTGAAATCATATCACCCATAAAGGGCTTGTAAGGAAGCTTTCTAAATATTATATCTGTATCAGGTACACTGATAGCATCAATTTGCACCATTCCAAATTTTCCTGCAATTCGACAAAAAATTAGTGTTTGATGTCACTAATCGCAAAATATGCTTGTTACACATAAGGCACTTTGCGATTAGGGATGTCATTAATAATCTAGTGGAATTTCAGGAACAATGGATTGGAATGGTGCAGTTTTTGTAAAGTTAGACAATAAAACAACTATAGAAAACAGGAAAAGTGGGAGTTCACATTTTGACCCCGCCAACAGTATATAAAAGTATATAAGACAGCCCCTGCCGAGTGAGTATTCATCAGTCTGAAGAGTTCAACTTGAACGGAACTAGTTACTGCAAAAATCAGGGATAACTAGTCGAATAAGCCAACCTTATCTCATTCAATAAAACAACTAGTTTAGAAGATAAAGGAAGATGCCAATAAAAGAATTGGTTTAATCACCACCAGAATTGGGACAACTGATCTACCATCATTTAAAGAAAGAGGGTGGCAAGCAGCTGTTACACAGCTTGATAGAAGCTCTTAAATGTTAAATACCCATGGCAATTTTCAGAATCAAAATGAATCGTGGAAGGTATCCCTTACAAAGGCTACTCAAACTCATCCTGATGCCACTCTTTCACTGGGTTTATCAGCTTCTCATCATCTTTTACAAAGTCTTTATAATTTAAACAAACCTCTAAAAGTTGTTCATCAATTTTTAGGAACTGTAGCAATGGAATCAACTGTTGTCTGGCTTTCTCTGTACAAAACGTTAAACTGTCATCTTCACTGTTTCTATAACTCTGTAGAAATATTTTCTTAGCAATCCTGAAATGAAATGGAAGATGGGCAATGCCATGCAGTGTGCCAAGAGGGAAATTTACCAGAACAGCAGCATCAGCCTCACTTGCGGTGTCAAGTGACAAACTTCATTCTTATACCTTGACTGCAATAGCCCCCTTTCTTGTATCACAGAATGCAGCGATTTGATTGGATTGTGAACCAGCAAATACAACCAATCAGAACCCTCGACAAAAATACTGTGAATGTTATGTCTCATTGTTTACAGACTTACTATCAAATTGGTACAATTACAAACTTCTGTGATATCTAGGTAAGAACGGTAGTTACTGCAGTCAAGGTATAAGAAGCAGTTGGTAATACTTGACATTGTGAAGCTGTGGCATCAGGTGTTCTTGAAGATTAAATATGCAGTGTCGTCTAGGCTCTTACTTACAGTTTGGTTCTCTTTTCGTCAGTACTATCAGTTATCAAGAGTACAGCCCCTTTCATAAATAAACCAACTGAATTATTAGGTTCTAGTTTTAATAACTCTGTTATACTCTTGTCAAATATTTTCTTTACGTCTTCTATTTCAGTTTCTTTCTTCTAAAACAGTGAAAAAATAACAATAACAGAATATGATCTATTTTAAATGAAATGAATGGAGTTTTACATCCTACTCTTCTCCACCTAATTGGCCTAATGAAGACAGGCAATGCCTTTCAGTGTGCTATGAAGTAAATTTTGCCAGGACCTCGGCATTAGCCTACTCTTTTTTTCAACTGTTGAGGGATCTTTAAGGACACAGTCTGTAGTAAGCTGTGGCTAGGTTTATTAGTCCATCTGAATGTTTAGATGCTTTTCCATGAAAAAGGGAAACAGGGATGAAAAATCGTAGGTATTATCTCTACCTATGCAGTGATTGAAGGCTGGCAACCACTTTATCAATCAAGAATACTTACTATGAGAAGTTGGTAAGATAAATGTGATATTTGTAACAATTGCCTCTTTCTCTCTCCAATGCTGTAATTCCAAGCAATAAATTATTACCAAAAAGATTAAGATAGCTTGCCAGGCAAGGTAACATACACCCACTAAGTGCTATCCAAAATGATAACATAATGTCTTTTTTCACAAAAAAGCAGGGGCAAATTCATAAGCTAATCATATGCTGACATATTGTTGTCTGTAAAGAATCTTGTATTACAATATGTATTTCATAGCCAAATAGAAGGTAGTTATTAAATTACCTGTCATCAGCTATAGTTGATAAATATTTCTGTATTAAATCTACTGCTTCTTTCAATAAACCATTTCTTATATAACTCTGAATAATAACCTAAAATCAAGGGATATTGTTGTATGATAAAGTTTAAATAAGGTTATCGCCACAAAATCATTCTTAAAGGCACAGGTCCATCCTTTTTTTTGACCAATCATACTTTAGTCTCAGGTAATCAGTAATACTGTTCAAACCTCAGCATTGAAATTTTAGCCTTCAAATCTATGTGTATCCAGAATTACACATATTTAAAAGTAAAAAAGATAACTAGTCTTTTCTTGATACACTGCCATACATAGAAAAGACATCTATAGAAAAAGGAAGAGAAATTTCTAGTCTATATATATTTAAAGGAATTATGTGATTTTCGTACATTTCTAGTACTTCTGAAGACTATTTAGAGTAAGAATTACCTTGGTAAGATATGTATTTTCTTTATAATCAGCTATGGATGGTGTTTTGTTGTCTACTATTAGATCTTTTAATAACTGACTTAAATCACAGTTCTTATAATCTTCTACCATCTAAAACACACATTCTTAAGGTTATAACTTTAATGTATTTTACACATGTCCATAAAGTTAATGAATTGGATTTTTTCATCCTATTTTTCTGAATATGTCTAGGGATTCCTAAGCATTATTGCCATTGTATTCAATGAATTTTCTATAATCAAACAATCTAAAAATTGGAATTTAAAAAAAAATCATCCCATGCTATTGTATCGAAAAGTATTTGCTTACCTGAAGTAGAAGTTGTTTACTGTTTTCTATATTGCCAAGAACTAATAAACAAATTAGTTTCTGTTTATTACACCATAATTTATAATTCATTATATTCTTTACTTCCTCTGGAATAGAATGTTAAATTGTCTTTAAAAAAAAACAAATTGAGTTTTCCATCCATCTTTCAAAACGTAAAATAACAGAAATTTCTAAAATACAGTTTTTAACTTTCACAGTTGTATTACCTTGCATTATTTTAACAGCAGTTGTATTACTTACCATTATTTTAACAGCAGTTGTATTACTTACATTATTTTAACAACAGTTGTATTACCTACCATTATTTTAACAGCAGTTGTATTACCATTATTTTAACAGCAGTTGCATAATTTAAAAGTACTTACATTATTTTAACAACAGTTGTATTACCTACCATTATTTTAACAGCAGTTGTATTACCTACCATTATTTTAACAGCAGTTGTATTACTTACATTATTTTAACAGTAGTTGTATTACTTACATTATTTTAACAGCAGTTGTATTACTTACATTATTTTAACAGCAGTTGTATTACTTACATTATTTTAACAGCAGTTGTATTACCTACCATTATTTTAACAGCAGTTGTATTACTTACATTATTTTAACAGCAGTTGTATTACTTACATTATTTTAACAGCAGTTGTATTACTTACATTATTTTAACAGCAGTTGTATTACTTACATTATTTTAACAGCAGTTATATTACTTACATTATTTTAACAGCAGTTGTATTACCTACCATTACTTTAACAGTTGTATTATTACAAAAAAGTTATTTAAAAGTTATATTACTTATCATCACTCTATAAGTTGTATTAGGTATCATTATTTTATCAGTTGTATTACTTATCATTATTTTGACAGTTGTACCACATATTACTTTTTAACAGTTGTACTACTTACCATCATTCAAACTGTTGTATTACATACTATTATTGACTATTATTGACAGCTGTATAACTTACAATTATCAATCAATAATTGTATTATTCAAAATCATTTTAAAAGTTGTATTACTTACCATTATTTTGCAGTAAATGATTAAGATATTGTAGCTCAATATTAAGTAAACGCTTATCATTCTCAGTACATAATCTAACACTTCCTTCTGCATGTAAAGCACATAGAAATATCAACCAATTCTTTATACAGCCTGTAAATAGAGAAAGAAAAAAAATGAAACAATAATCCATATTTTGGATGGAAAATTACTTTTTAAGGATCCTGTCTACCAGTGGGTCATTGCCTAATATTAGTGGCCTTGATCTTTTCCTTGAATATCCATTTGAAGTGGTTTGACTTGAACAATGAGAAAGACGACTTATTCAATAATTGGGGGGTTGATTTAGGTCTTGAATATTTGAAAAAAGTCTTCAGAAGTACAAGAAATATACAAAAATCGTACAATTCTTTCAAAAATACCTCAAACTAGCAATTTCTTTTCCTATTTCTATATATGTCTTTTTTAAATATGGCAGAGTCCATAAAAAAAAGAGTCGTTTTTCTGAAAATTCAATACATATGACTTGAAGGCCCAGATTTCGACAGTGAGCTGTGAACACTATTTCTGATTGATTGAACGAATGGAAAACCTGTCGCTGTTCAGGTTATCCAAGCAAATGACATAAAATTCTAAGGCAACTCGGCAAATAATGTACAGTTGAGCTGAGCTCTATTTTAGACTACACTTAAATAAAAACATATAAATAGAAAGGTTTGCATGTATTCCTCCACAAAATAACCAAACCATACCTGGATTTTGAAGTAGTAGAATTTGTGAATTTCGTAATGCGTTGTTTTCGACTATAGTCTGAGAATGGTGTCCTGATTGTAGCTGGGCCAATACTAATATCCCATTGTTCTCAACAACTTTACCAGGCTGAAAAAAAATATCAGTTTAAATTTATGTTTATCCCAGAAGTAGGACTTAGTGTTTTTCAAAGGAAAACTATCAACAGGACGAGTAAATATTCAGAATTGTGTGTCTACTATCACTTTCAATTCTGTTGTCACAGAAATTCTGGGATTCATTATTGATTACCGGCCTTTATTGCTAGATTATAGATGGCTACTGATGTCTAATTATGATACCACTGGTATAACACTCTGTCTTACAGACGGTAAAAAACGGCGACAAATATCACACTGGTTTGATATTATAAATTCTGTAAGACACATGATAATCTTGAGATTTAACTTATGATTTGCCAAAAAATGTGCCCGCAGCATTAAAGGCAAGGTTTGAACATTTGAACTTTATGTTTATTTTAAGAGGTTGTACCTCTTTAATCAGATTATCATGACTCAGCATTAATCATTCATAATCAAAACGCCTACCTTTGTGTCACTATATAATTCAGCTATTTTTAGACTGTTTAAAGATGTCTGACTATATTGAGGATAGTACTGTACTAGTATTTTCGCTAGTATCAACCAGTTAGTACTATTCAATGGATCAGTATGTAATGATCTCTGTAATATCCTTATTCCATCATTGATCTGGCCCTGAAATTTCAAATAATTTATGCTACAATTGTGAAGAAGAAATGAAGATAGCTTGCCAGACAAGATAACATACACTCATAGCAGCAGTTAATAAATACAATGGAGATAATGATAACTGTTATGGTCGCCTAATTGACTGATTGCACTTTCATGTGAGTGTAAATATATGGTCGCTGGTCAGGTAATGGAGGTGGTGTCTTAACAGTCATTAGTTATATTGAAAAGGTGAAGGGGGACTTTATTGTGGTCGCATATTGAAGGTGGTTGTTTAGTAGAGGTGGTCTCATGAGCAGGATTCACTGTAATCAGAAGGGTCAGAAGAGCAACAAGTTTCTATCAAAGCGACATAATAATATAACCACAGTTTCATCCAAATTTATCTTCTATCACATTAACTAATTGATTGTGACAAGTTTTCATAGTCAAGAACAATCAGGTCCACTTAAGATTCCTGAGATCTCATCAAACCAAATTTTCAAAAGGACTTATAAAATGGCAATAATGCACTGTGACTTTTTACGCTTATAGTGTTAACCATATAGAATAACTAGCATTGCCATGTTTTACTAATTCTTGAATTTACCTGTGCTAGATGTTGAGCTAGTATTAAGACTGAAAAAGTTCCTAAAATCACCTATGTAAAGCACTGGCCAATGTCAAAATAAAGCTAGTGTTAACCATATAGAATCACAAGTATTATCATGTTTTACTAATTCTTGTATTTACCTGGACTAGCTGTTGAGCTAGTGTTAACCATATAGCATCACAAGTCTTATCATGTTTTACTTATTCTTGTATTTACCTGTACTAGCTGTTGAGCTAGTGTTAACCATATAGAATCACAAGTATTATCATGTTTTACTAATTCTTGTATTTACCTGTACTAGCTGTTGAGCTAGTGTTAACAATATAGAATCACAAGTATTATCATGTTTTACTAATTCTTGTATTTACCTGGACTAGATGTTGAGCTAGTGTTAACCATATAGCATCACTAGTGTTATCATGTTTTACCAATTCTTGTAATACAGCACCAACTAATGTGATATCACTCTGTAATAATCCTAATCCGCATAAAGCCTTTAATCCAAGCACTGATGGAGGTGTTACCTGAGAACTGAAATGAAAATTTCTTTTTTAAAATATAAGCACTTTACAATTGTATACATGAATATATTTTGAGGGAGTAGAGCAATCTGTTGAAGCATTCTGGCCACTTTTCTCGAAATGATCAGTGCAAGAAGTTTGACCAAGCGCTAGGTGATATCTCGAAGACTTAAGTTGTCTTTTCAACCAGCAAGAAAAGACCTAACAAAACAAAAATTAGAATGACATCAGGTGATCTGTAAAGTGGAAATGCCCTGCTAATCTTTGGTTAGAACCATCATCATTATTGAAAAAACCTATGGAAACTGACCTTTTAAAGAGATATGTTTTAGCAGTAGCTATATCATCTTGTTGATAGGCTATCATACCTAATACAGTATAGATATGTGATTTATCTTCATCATTTGTAGCTTTTTCTAATGCACTTTCATATACTGTAATATATAACAAAAAACATTTTTATGGCTGTGCTCCATTATAGTCACAATTTTTGCTTCATTACCAATTAGAACTCTCTGTTTGTAATTAACCTTTTTAGAACAAATTCAGTTTGATTAAGAAGATACATAGATATACATAACATATTTTAGAAATATTTTCAGGTATAATTTACGTTTTTTATAATGAAAATTTTGCATAATGCCCCTTTTTAAGACAATTTTCTTAAATTTTGATCTATATTTTTCATTTATTTCAGCACTTAAGAAGTTCTCACTTTTCAGACCTGCGATCAAATATTCTGAAGATTTGGAGAGTGAATATTGCTTGATGATTTACATATTTACCTTTAAAACTCAATCCCAAATTGCCAGATTTATATAAACTGTAACCATAGCAACAAATATCTTCTAGTTGATCTGTAGTTATTGTTGAAAATATCTTGACTGATTTTTCATATTCACCAACTTTACTATGAAGGGAAACATGATACAATAAGAATGAGAAGATGGAGACTGATAAGGTAACAGGTCATTGAAACCATGATGACACCAGGAAATGTGTTGCGCAATCCCACAATTCAAGAAACAGGTTCTAGATAACACGCTTTGGTTGGTTGAAAATAATGTCATTAGGACAGGATTTTGGTAGAAAACTTGTTAGATCATAATGGAGAAAAGAAATTAGATTGTACCATCAGATGCAATGACAATGTACAATACAGCCTCAATTGTAGACACAGTAATTATCAGACAGATATGAGAGTGGGCTCATACGAAATCGGAGAAACTGTGAAACATAGTGAAGCTAGAATCCTCTAACCAACAGGGGTGGTCTCAATTGAAAAATCCAAAAGTAAGATCTCAATATGTGCTGGGGTCACCCCTGAAGCTGACGGAATTCCAGTCCACCTTCAAATTCAGAAATGATTATCTGATAGTTCAGGAAGGTAAAATTTCCCTCATTGCACAATGCACAGTGTTACATGTCTAAAAATTGAGATGTAACTTACCACAGTACTCTAGCTTGATTAATCTTGGCTTGATTTAATTTAACTTGATCACCTTCTATTTCTAGTAGTTCTACACATCTAAAATATTAACACAGAATCAGAAACTCAGAATGCAGGTCTAAATCACATTCTCTTTCATATAACATCTCATTGGCCAAACCTCTTTTAGTTTTAAAAGACTATTCATACCCCCAAAAAATGACAATAAAATACAGGCCATCAAAACCAATTACAAATTTTATCATAAATATCCATACAACTTTAATAAAGGGATAATTCCTCTTAATAAACTAAGCATTATAACTGCAAAAAATATTGAAGGGCCTTTGTAATAGTTTCAACAGAAACGCTCAGTTTAAGGGAAATTGCAAAAACCTCGGTTGTTACAAATTAGAACAAGCAAATGGATGCTATCAGTGTCCCCAATATACACGAAGAGTTAACAAAACAAAATACCAGAAGAAAAGAGTCTCGCCCAAGAAGACCCAACATAATTCACCATTCATTACTGAGTCAAATTCAGCTTATGGAAACTACCAAGAATTGCTGAATTCGAAGTAACTTCATAAGATTCTAATCACTGGACAAGACTAAGCTACAACAATATAGTGAACAACAGAAGGTCTGAAACTCCAAGTTACTAACCTTGTTAAAGCAGTAAGAGAAGATCTATATAATTTCTGTTGTTCCAACAATAAACCATACATATTTAATGCTGTTATATCATCCTTTTCTCTTTCTGAAAAACACAAAGTTTTCAAACTACAAAACTATTTGACTTAATCCATATTTGAGGATGGATTGTAGCCTAGTTAGTTAGAGCTCTGGAATCTTGTTGTAATTTGATTGGTAATGGTGTTGGAAATAAAAAGGCTTTAAAAGTACTGTAACCTTATTTATAAGTTACTGATAAAGAACCTAGTTGAAGTTTTTTCAACAATTACTTGTGTATTTGTTAAATAGGTATTGTGTATTTTTTTAATTTTTCATTATATTGTCCCCATGGGCTGAATGTTAGACAGGACCATGTCCTTGTGTATTGGGTCTAATTCTGACCTATTTAAAATAAAGAGTTTATTATTATTATTATTAAACCTCTGCAGCTTCAAGAAAATTTGAATCTTAAAATCCTAAATTAAGATTATTTCAAACTTAAGTCTATTAAACGACTGGCCTTTGACCCAACAAGCTCATATTCTCTTTACTAAATCTTATTGGGCGAAGATGTTTTCTTTACCAATCATATTCCTTGAAACAAAATAATATGTGTAAGAGATTCTGTAGAGTTCACCAAATTTTGAAAGCTCACATGAACTCACTTCAATTGTTTTCATTTAATAATTACCAATATATGACGGCAATAATGGCCTGGTAGATCAAGGGTGAGGCAAAGAATGGGCTCATGAACCTTTGAAAGATAATGATGAAACCTACCTAAATACCTTGTCAATGTATCTGCAGCAGATGGTATGGCAGCCATTTGTTTAATACAATATTGATACAGATCTGTATGGTGTTTTTTAGTATCTTGTAACACTGTACACACCCAGTGAGCATAGCCAATACTTCCTTCAGGCTGGATTTAAATAAATTCATCAGTTTAAAGATGGGTTCCCTTATTTTTATTAATGAAAATGAAAATGCTAATACTTATATGAATAGAAAGTAGAGGTGTTCTAATGACTTGGAAAAATACCCGTTTGTCTCACATGTCCATAATTAATTCATAATTAGCTCAATTAGAAGAGAATTATAAAGCAGAATTCCAATGAGTGACCGATCAAGAAAGGTTTAAAAGTATTTTTTTTGTTTATCCAGACTGTACATACATGGACATTTATGATTAGTTAAAACTCTTAATTATATGTAATAAGAACATTATCATATGATAATTCATTAGAAACACCAATTCATCAAATAATTTGCTTAATTTGACACCAACAAAAATAAGGAAACCCATCTTTAAAGGAAAATGTATACATGAAATCTGAAATGAGTTCCTTTTTCGATTGGATTAACATATGATGTCAATTTGAAATCACATATACATATATACGAAATTTGTAACTGGTTACATTAAAATGCAAATTGGCTAAAAGAGAATAAATAACAAAAGCCATACATGATAACTGAGCTCTGTGGTATGTCTATATAAATCCATTGTATCTTCATGTCCAACTGTTTCTGCTATCATAGCCTACAATTACAGAATAACAATTATGGCTGATCATTAGACCATGAATCACAAATGGAAATGTCACTTGAAATTATTCAAAAACTTGTGCTGTGCAGGCTATTTATCAAAATAGTTCTTAAAAAGAGCCTTTGGACTTAAAGGCTATCTGCCAACACATCGGCAATTTTCATGACAGCCTAAAATACACATAGGCTCTAACCATTATGGCATGCACAAGCTTATTTTTCAAACTGTAAAGCCCTACAATAAAGCTTGACAAACCTGTCCAATCCAACAAGCAACATAGTTAGGATCTAAACTTTGTGCTATTTTGAAAGCTTCATGTGACAACTGTACATTATCATTCTGTAGATATAGTGTTCCAAGGTTAGTCCAGGCCACAACATTCTGAAAAATAAAAATATAATTTGATCAGAATTGACATTTTTTTCTCTGATCGTTTAAAGATGGGTTTCCTTATTTTTTATTGTCAAATCAAGCAAACTATTTGATGAATTGGTGTTTCTAATGAATTATCATATGATAATGTTCTTATTACATATGATTAAGAGTTTTAACCAATCATAAATGTTCATGTATGTACAGTCTTGATAGACTTTTTGACCTTTCTTGATCGGTCACTCATTGAAATTTTTCTGGTAATTCTCTTCTACTTTAGCTAATTATGAATTAATTATGGACATATGAGACAAACTGGTATTTTTCCAAGTCATTAGAACACCTCTACATTCTATTCATATCAGTATTAGCATTTTCATTTTCATAAATGAAAATAAGGGAACCCATCTTTAAATGTTTGTTTAGAGCTCATAGATGAAGACTGACGATTGGGACAAGCTTAGTCAATGGCTATTTGGTGTATAGTAGATATACCTAATGAAGATGTTAGCTACATGGATTCTTCGAAAAGGATGCCGAGTTGACAAACCCACTGAAGTTCCTTTTGACCCATCATACCTTAGTCTCAGAAATAGGAATTTTTAAGCTCAAGCTAATCTGTAATAGTGTTCACAACTCACAGTCAAAATTTGAGCCTTCAAATTCGTGTGTGTCTAGAATTATCCTTGTTTGAATGTTAAAATCTTTTCTTGAGTCTCGGCCTTATATAGAATAGACATAGAGAAATAGAAAGTGAAATTTTTAATTTGACATATATTTGATGGGAATTATGCGATTTTCGTACATTTCTAGTACTTCTGAAGACTATTTACATATATTCATGACTCAAATCAACTTCCAAAAATGGTGAACCATGGCCTTTAATGTAACTTACATTGGCTTCACAATGAATAGATTTGATAAAACTATGTTGAGCTAAATCTAGCTTCATAATATCTACAAAAAATAAATACTTATTATCAAAGATGTCTCTTCAAATCATCTGCAACTATTACACATTTCTACCGTGTTTTACTGTAGCAGACAATTTCAAATTAAGGACCAATAGAATTAAACATGGTGTCATCTTTTTTTTTTAACCTTCATGTTTCTACCTGGTCATTTTAATGATTTGTTTTGTAATGAATACACACATGAAACATGTAATTATATATGAAACACCTTCGTTTTTGGTGTGGAATAAGTCTACAGCACAAAAATTTGTATCAGACTATAGCTCTGCTTTGGCAGAGTACAAAGCAGTTGATTTAATAAACTTTGCATCACTTTGGAGAAGCCACACAGAGCAAATTTCCGACTTTTGGCAGTCTGAATTTATATCAAGTATCACTTACATTTAGATGCTGAGATGACGCCAAGAGCATTCCAATGTAAATAATAATTAGAATCCAAGCTAACAGCTTTACGTAAACACTGTAAACATTTCTCACTAGTTGGTTTACTATCACTGGTTGTCAACGGTAACTGATAGTACAATGAAACACCTAAATCATGCCATAACATAGAACTTTCAGGTAGTATCTTCAATGCTTTACCATAACACCTAAACAAAACAAATCCAAAGAATCTTCAAAGAGACCTATGAGAATAGTTGAATTTTTTCAAATCTATATATATAAAAGCTCTAAATAGAGTTTAATTGTCTAAGTTTGCTTAATTTGTTGTCTGAATCCTAAATGGACTATTTATGCTGTGCTCGATTGGTTAGTTATGAACACGTTCCACCTGATCCAATTCCGGTTACAATCGGACGGTACGAAACCAAACGTGTCAAAATTGTCCCTTTTATTTGTCTCTCTGCCATTTTGAATTTTGTCTACACCCCCTTTTATTATCAGCACAGATGGAACGCGTTCTGAACTCTGTATCACATTCTTTTATTGAATGCATGAATCCTGATCAATCAAGCGCCCCCTATTTGTAATCTCCTCAGATTAGATTTAAATGAGTTTAAAAAGAATACAACTTGATACAGAGTGCTCTTCTCCTTCTTGGGACTACCTGAACACAGTCATTATCCTAATCTTACTCAAATAAATACTATTTTCTACCTGCTAGCAATATCTAAAACTGTTAATTTGTCAACTTCTCTGTATTCTTCTGTTTTATCATCACATTTCTCCAGTAGTTTAACTGGTACACTTATACTGAAATACACAATGACATTGAGAAAACTGATATCTGGTAATCCTTTTTCCATCTTTGGTCAACATGAATAGAATTCCCATTAAAAGTACAGGCCTAGTTCATGAAGCTTGGATTATATTATATTTCTAATTACTGTTATACTATATAAAAATATAGTTCAGTTAGTACTAAAAAAAAAAAAAAAGGTGAAAATTGTTGAAAGGCATATGGTGGATCCTGAAGGGTTCTTACAATTCTGTGTTCTTGGCATCCTGAATCTTAAAAATTTGTTTGAAAATTGTTCAGTAAATATAACCCATGACCATCATTAGTTTGATGTGACCAATCAAATGACGTCATGTAAAGTGCCAAACACTCTAACCAACTGTGCTATAGATCCCCTGAAACAATCACTATGCAGCTGAGTTTTTCAATTTGGTATCTCTTTGGAAAGTTCACCCTTGTTCTCATTGGCATCACACAAATTCTATGTTTTTTCTTACCATGTATCCTTTGATAATGGTTGTACTAATAAACAAACATCACCTAATAACTTCCATAAACAGGACATATCACTTCTCTCACTGGCTGCTCTAAAAAATAATAAAGATGAACAAGTTGAATTATTTTGCTTGTCATGACATAATCATGATAAGAGAAATAAATAACCATGATAAGGGAATTTTAATAATCATGATGAGGCAATATAATAATCATGATGAGGCAATTTAATAATCATGATAAGGGAATTTTAATAATCATGATGAGGCAATTTAATAATCATGATGAGCGAGTTTAATAATCATGATGAGGGAATTTAATAATCATGATGAGGGAATTTAATAATCATGATAAGGGAATTTAATAATCATGTTAAGGGAACTAAATAATCATGATAAGAGAGTTCTATAATCATTTTAAGAGAATAATAATCATGATAATGGAATTCAATAATCATGATAAGGGTATTTAATAATCATAAAAGAATTTAATAATCATGAGAAGGGAATTAATAATTATGATAATGGAATTCAATAATCATGATAAGGGAATTTAATAATCATGATAATGGAATTTATCAATCCAGTACAACAATGTAAAGGAGTGGAAATACTGTAACTTACTGAGTGAGATATTTCAAAGCCTGTTGACAATTATCTTTGACTCTACCATCTAGATTCTCTTTAATATGATCTTTACCTAATAATAAATAGGTCTCACCAATACCTGTAAATTCAGAATCAAAAGTTGTACAAATAACATAGCAGTGTGAGCGCGAGCATATTTTTTCGCCCAAGCACAGTGAATTCTAAAATCGCTCAAAAAATTTACCTGTGTGTCTGTTCACCTCAAAAACAATCTCGACATATCATATGAATCACCAGAGTATTTTATTGAATGATCAATATCTCTAGACCAATCGGGAGCATTGGCTGTTTCCACCAATCACCATCAGATGGCCGATGGAATAATTCTGACGAGTGACATATGCTCTGCCCTTAGCATAAAAAATCAAAACCCATGTTACATGACAGTACAGGGATTCTTTGAAACATAACCAGACATCTGAGAACAAAATTAACAGCAAATTATTACAGCAAAAGTATGTAACAATATTTTATTTAAGTGCTTATAGGTATACCTTTCAAAGCAGGAACATAGTCAGGAGATTTTTGAAGAATTAGTTTATATTCTTCTATAGCTTCAACATACATTCCTAAAATCTGTCTAATAGTTGCTATTCTAAAATTAAATAGAACCTCATTATGTGGAATGAAAGCTATGAATTATTAAAGGCGTGGGCACACAAACAATCTTGGTCAGAGATACTTGTTGTCCATTACAGTCTTGTCAGTTGTCTCGCCAACTGACATGGACACACAAGGTCAGTCGTTTTCCATCTTGTCCATAATCACGTGCAGAGCATGCAAATGAAAGGAAAAGAAATCTGATTGGATGATGACGCTCGGTCTTGCAGACGATAAAAGTATCAAAGACAATTATCAAACTTGTTTGATACTATAAATCCTGTCAGCGACACGATAATCTTGTCGAAGCACAGGCACACGCAAGATTTTACTCAAGACTCTAATCGGCAAGAAAATTCTCTGACCAAGGCTTGTGTGCCTATACCTTTATGTACCAGAGTTTTGCACGATTAACACTAGATAGACTGATTTCATAATTCATGTACATATTTATGACTCCATGTGAAAAATTGTACATGAATTAAATACCCATAATCCCATTCAACTGAATAAGGGGCCATAAAAATGGTGTTATAGAAACAAATGATACGAAAACTTACTGGTATAAACAATAGAATGATTCTTCAGCCAACTACAAATATATAACAATATATAATGTCATTACATGATATAAAAAAAACTCACAGGAATGTCATGCAGTTTGCAATGAGGGAAATTGTCTTTAACAAGGTTGATGTTTTACAATTCATAACCAGAAGCACAGTGAAGGAATTTCCAAGTTAAAACCCTAAGATACTACATGTATCTGCATTGTAATTTGAACATACATGTTATATAAATTATTACCTCTGATGCTTTGGTAAAGGCTTTAAGAGCAGCAGTATAACTACCTCTGTTAAAATAGGCTTCACCTAGACACTCCCATACATGACTACAAATATAACAGAAACATTGATGAAGCCACCTTAACAATTGCTTTCCCATTTTGATAGAGCTCAATTTCAGCTTTCCATACAACTCTTCAGATTTGGAACTTCATATGCGACGACATTTAAAAGACTATCTCAAAAACTTCTTTGACAACATGTGGCATACCCAAACTGGGATGTGAGATCCCCGCCACTGATTGCAGTGCATGGAGGTGGTCTGTCAGCAGAGCTGTGCAGCATTTTGAGGAAAGTTGTCTGTTTGAGCTAGACCAAAAGAAAGAGCAGTCCCTGCTATTACAGCATTTGCATGCTCGTATTGAGGCTACCCTTGTGTGTCCAACCTCCACACAGGAGTCTTCATACATAGCATTGGAATTGCATGACACCAATATCCAATCAAATATATTGATTTTAAACTAATTATCTATTTGACCTTTAAATGTAAAACTATGAGTATACCTGTCTGTTGGATCAGAACGTAAAGCAGATTGAAATGATGATATAGCACCTATAGGATTATCTAACTTAATCTCACATAATCCTAATCTTAACCATGCCCATTTAGCACTACCAGTATTAGCCTCATTTGTTACTTTCACCAGCAAACCATAAGCTCCTTCCTAGAAATTTAAAGAACATGGCCTTTATTCAACATAGTTGACATAGCAGAATGGATATCTACCAAAACAGGGAAAAGGAGCCAAATTTCAACATCCCGTTTGGATCATTAGGATTAACAATTTCCACTTTATTTTATTTTGGGTTCACAGTGCAACATGCAAAGTAAGTTAAAGCAGAAAATCACCCCCAAATTTCTAATTTCAACAAAATTAAGCAAAGAAATGAGATTTCAATGGTGGACGTCAGAAAGTGACATAATTTGGACATAATATCTAAAACATTGAATTTTTGGAATTTACTACATTTGCTGGTGCTGTCTAATACCTTGACATCATTAGGCACTTTTCTTGGAAATTTTCTATGGAATATAAGTTAAGCCTTTTTTTCTTTTGTAAATCATACCATAAAGTCAAAATGCAGACAAGAATAAGGAGTTACCGACATATTGCTTATAAACTCTCTGCCGAGGGCTCTGATTGGCTGTATTCTCTAGTGTACAGTCCAATCAAATAAACTCTCATGATAAAAGAAAAGTGCTTATATATGTCAAGGCATAAGATGAAGTTAGTAACACCTTTACATTGTGAGGATGGGTTTCAATGCATCAAATTTTCAAGGCATAAGTTATTGATCTTGTTTAGTGCCACCAACTAAACCAGCATCACTTCTTAAGATGTTTCAACTAACCTCATCTCCATCATTAATCATCATATCACAGATAGCAGCTCCACTTTCATCTAATGATTTGTCTAAATGGTAGGATTTCTCATAACATTTTCTCCCCAATCTATATAGACAGTAAAATAAAATATGTTAAAATATTAGGACAGAATTAGGACCAATACACAAGAAAATTCAGACCACAGGGACAATAGAATGAATGAATGAATGAATGAATGAATGAAAAATATACAATACTTCGATTGACAACCTGTTCAACAAATACACAAGTTATGCTTACGTGATCAAGTACACAACCAAAAGAAAGGCACAGAAATACACATATAGTCATATGGAAGAAAAAAAAGTATACACACCTGTTGTCTTTCCTGATGTTAACATAATAATGACCCAAATATAGAAAAGGTTCACCATTTTGTGGATCAAACTGAGCAGCCTAGAATAGATATGAAGCAGACGACATTAGTAGATTTACAAATCAGAACATTATTTGACAATTTAAAGAGTGCTCTTTCAAAAAGGCGAGGAAAATCATCATCATATTACTGTCCTTCAATGGTTGCTCACTGCTATTGTGTAACTAGTTGGATTTTACAACCCGATTTCCCCCTGTCAGTGATGCATGAAAGAGGGGCTGACATGTAAAAAGCGTCTAGTTATTCGGATGGGACAATAAACCGAGGCCCTGTATTTGGCTGAATTAAGTTTGCAATTAATCATCCTGTCCATATGATCCTAGACTGTATAAATATGACTCACTTTTAAAAATGTGGTGTAACATTTCTGCTGAAGTTCTGTATCTTGTAATTTATCTTGTAATATAGTCCATATTACCTTTCCCATTAAACACCATATATTACTGAGATTATCATGGTCTTCAGACTTATTACATAGTTTCTCTAGTCTATAGAATATAAACAATAAGAATATTCATTTCGTTTATTCCTGATTATGGACAGAGGAGGCGCTTGATTGGTATATTCTTCATGTTCAGGATTCATGGAATCAACCAAAAGTCCAATGAAACAATTTGATATAGGGTTCAGAATGCAAAAAATAAGGAGGTGTAAACAGTTTTCAAAATGACATAGAAAAGAACAGAAGTGGTTATAAAAAATAAAAATAAATAAAATACAAAGGGAAAGTTTGGTCTGATTTTTATTAGACTGAAGAATTTTTAAATGTGAATTGTGTCTTTCCTCTCAATAACACTTGATTTATTTCCTAATCTTTTATGAAGATATATGAGTTATATGATGTTTTTTATATTTGACAACAGACTTACCTTGATAATGCCTGATCATACTGTTTGTTATTATAGTCATCCCAGCTGAAATAATATTCCTTTATATTCTCATAGCCTGTTACTGTTTTAATTATTTCCTAAAATATAATAGAGAATGAAGAAGATTAAAGTGGCAGTGTGCATCGATGTACCCAGTTGTATGTATGGCTCTTACATGGAAATAAAACACCATTTTGAATATCTTCCTCCACATAATAAGTCAAATTTTCAAAAAAGCCTTCAAAGCACATTTACAGCGATAGGGATTATCTTCATAATGACATTGACCTACAAAATAAAAAGCAAAAGAATCCATAATGAATTGTTGCCTGTACAGTGAGCACGAGTTGCCAAATATAGCTAAAAGAGTGAAAACACTACGTCGTCCACAATATTTTGGTGAAAAATCGATAGGGATCATCTTCATAATGACATTGACAAAAAAAAAATCAAAAGAATCTGTAAAGAATTGTAGCCTGTAGAGTGAGCAGGAGCCAAATTTGCCAGGGTGATTACAATATACGCCCATAATATATTAGTGGGCGAATAAAAATCTAATTGTAAAAAAAAAAGTTAAAATGCAGTATCAAACAAGGATTACTCCTTCCAATGTAATTATTCATTATGGGCTACATCATTTGATGCAGTGTTACTAAGCTTACCAAAAAACCAATAAATTTACCTTCATCTGATCACCATGATTTTGCTTGAGATAAATTTTACATAATAATAACTTATACTGGTCTTGATCTTTATACTGCAATGAAAGAAATCCATAAACCATTGATAGAATACCTCAAGCCACAAGAAGAAATTCCATGGGAAAGCTAACAAAATATCATGTCCAACTAGTTACACAATAGCAGTGAGCAACCATTGAAGGACAGTAATATGATGATGATTCTGTTTTTTTACCAAAAGGGATATGTGTTCAAATATATTCTCTTGAATTCAAATTTTCAACTCAGATCTTAGGCTTTCTCACTATATCCCAGGGTGTCTCTAAATGCATATGGTCCCATGCCACACAACGAAATGATCAGCAATGCTTGTTTCAGAAAAGTAATTCAAGCCCTAAGCCATGCCACTAAAAATCTAACATAGACGCTCAAAGCTACAGAGAAATGGCATGGAAAAGTGGCAATTTTCTTTGGTCAGAATGATAGGATAATTTTTATAAATTTACATTGAAAACAAACACATTTCTTTCTTAGAAATTTCTATCCAAAAACTTTTTACTTTGTTCAGATAATAAGAGTATATTATGTTTAATGTAAAACATACCTTTTGTAATATTTGGAGAGCTTGATCTAAAGAGTTAGGTGTACCAATATTATACAAAACATGACATTTCAGCAAATCTAATTTATCTTTTATTATGTCTTTCTTCATTATACATATTATCTTCTTATTGTTAGATATTACTGAAAATAACACATAAAATAAGATATACTAAATACCATTGTATCACGAATACAGGTTTTGACATGGTCTTATCAACCCGTATTAAACTAAGCCCACTACACTCAAAGTAACATGTTTCAGGTTCTGTTTTAATATTTTGTAATATCAAAATTAGACTTACATTGATAACAATCATTGATATATTTTAAACTATTATGGTTATCTCTTAGTTGATATAAAACTATTGCTAGTACATAGTAACCAATAGCAACCATAGAACATTGACTTATACCTGAAAACAGAATTAAAATCGTCATTGTAAACGTCCAAAATTTGTCTTTTGTTCAACCATATTTCAAAGTCTCCAAGATCAACTCCCAAATGTTATAAACAAAATAAAGATAGCCTTGCAAAGCAAGATGACATACGCTCACCAGCAGATTTGATTGCTAGTACCAATCATTGTTTGTGGCCTGTAGAAAGAGCAAAAGCCACGTGTAAATAGATGGACGAACAACAATGTTTCCATACTACGTGTGGGCATATAAAAATCAAAAGAATCCATTAAGAATTGTTGCTTGAAGAGTGAGCAAAAGTTGCACTATATAGCTAATAGAGTGAAAACGCTAAGTCGGACATGATATTTCAGTGAAAAATTATCAGATCATCACAACAAAATAAAAATCAAAAGAATCTGTATAGAATTGTAGCCTTTAGAGTGAGCACAATCCAAATGTCAACAGACGGACAGACTGACGTGGTGATTACAATATAAGCCCAAACTATTTATGTGGGCCTTTAAAAATGGGTACATTGCAAATTCCATATATTAGATCATACAAATGTATATTCTGTCCTTAAATTTTAATTATTCTTTCTTTTCCTGTATTGTAAAAATTCCACAATTTGAATCTCTGGCCCTTTAAAAAATAGTCAAGCTTAGTGTGGAAAACGAAATTAGTACTGCATGTCTACATAGTAAGAGTTTGTTTATATCTTGTGTCTCAATTCATCAAATTAATTTTCAAATATACTAGAAGCTAGTCTAATAATATAGCCACAATACCTTGGAGTAATAAGAGTTTAGCTTGATCATATTGTTTTTCAACCAACAAACAATATCCCTGTAATAACTTTAATATACCACTGTCGTCTGCTATTATTTGTTTAAATTCAATTAGTCTTTCATTCAGATTGACTTTCTTCATCAACTCCTCTCCACCTACAAATAATAAGCATTTTTAGATATTGGCAGTCATTTGTTATTTGGGCTGAATTATTTTGGGAAATTATGGTTACCTGGCACCTAAAAGTTGATTTTTTTACAGGTAATGTAAATAAAAATCACTCAGACGCTCAAGAAGAAAAAGTTTTCTGACGCTAAAGTAAATTTGTGAGTTCAAGGTGTTGTTTAAAAAAAAAACAGATTGAAACTATGGAGGCTAAATTCCGAGGTGATGACTGTGTCTCTGTTTTACCAACCAGCTATGGGAAAGACTTTCTTTGAAATGCAAACTGCTGAAATTAGTTGAAGACACTACTTTCGTTTTACTTTGTTACATAAGAATGTCTTATGTAGTTTGGTTTGAATCACGACTTTAACATGGATGACAACAATGATCGTTTTCTAATTCTGGTAAATGGGATGACTGCAATATGTCGACAAATTTCGAGCGTTCATAAAAAAATGAAAGTAAATACCTATCATATCTTCAAGTAACTGTATTATAATATATTCTTGTATGCCAGGAGAACTTGGGTAAGATGTTGATAATCTTTTTATTTCATCTTTAAATACCTCTCTTGACTTGACCTACAAAGAAACTTAACTTATTTTGGCAATTTCACTAAATACATCTTAAATAACACTGAGTAGGTGGTCAGTATCATTCTATTCAATTCACACTCAGTATTCAAACAATCTTATTAGAATCAGATAATAATTTCGTTTCTTTTCGTTTCGTTATTTGGCCTCCATTGTAATTTATCAAGATTACCAAACTTACTTACTGGTCACATTTCAAGCTATTTATAACAGATCAATCACACGCCACTCTCCGCCAATCAGAATCACTTTTACAAGCAAGTATCAGCAGTCTCACAATCTCATTGGTCATATTGCTCTACTTTGGGTTTTGCAAATCCCCAATTAATGGTCGATATTTAGACACAAGTTCTGCATGACGCACTGTGATTGGTTGAAATGAACAGTATGTGACCTTAGATCAAATCTTTTTAGATTATAATGGAGATTACAAAGTAATGATGAAATGAAACAAAATTGTAATCTAATTCTAAAAGGGATAAAAAAAAGTTTGAAATTAAAACAAATGATCTTACTTTTAGTAACAATGTAGAAAATTTCTTCAGCATTGCTTCCTTTTCCTCATCTGATAGATGTTGACTCTTTAGACAGTCTTCATAACAATTTATCAACTGAAATAAGAAACATTAAATCAATTTTCATTGTAGTAATAGTAATAAAAACAGCTTTCTTCCAAAGAAAGAGAAAGAATCAATTGTGCAAGTGCATGTGCAGGGATAAATGATAAATTATCATAAACTAATACTAGCCACCTAAAAGTGAGTTGGAGCCACTCCCATAAATTGTGACATTTCTGTCTGGCCTAAAACACATCTGCGGAACGGGTAAGGCTAGATTTGTCGGGCATGTAAATATGGTGAAATCAACAGTACTGATTTGACCAAATATTGTTAGTCAGTTGCATCATCAAAATGACTAATCAATATATTGGCATCAACACTTCTGATGCAGATCAAGGAATGTATAACTGTATCAAGTATGTAGGCCCCAGTAATGTAAATAGCTTACATAATCAGAATCAGTGTTAGTTTGTGATTCTAAAATAGGTAATAATGACTTCTGTATATTGAAAATCTCATCTTTATCTTGTATTAAACCAAGCAGTTCCTTGTATACTATTATACACTGAAATTATCAAAGCAAAATTCTAACATTTTTTCCACTATGGTTTTAAAATCTGTAATTAATTTTCATGATTAAAATGAAGGGGGTGATCTTCAGCTGTCTGTACATATACAGGTTTTTTGTTCAGCTAAACAAATAAACACTGTATCCTAAGATGGATGACAGGATGAATTGGTGTTTGCTCACCTTTTCTATTTGACCAATATCCTTTAATAGACCACCTAATCTTTTTAATATTTCTACCTTCTTCTTCTCATCTCTATATAAATAAAAATGAAAATATAGATTTCTTTCAGAATATTTAAATATGATTATTATTTCCTTTCATGTTGTTTACAAATTCCACAATTTTAATCAAACAAAATTTTAAAGGAATGATGTTGAAAACTGCTCGCCATATTATTGCGGTAAATTATGATAAAGACTAAGTAGGTGTCACACTAATAAAGGTGATGCAGAAGTCACATTTCACTTTATTCTGAATAGTAATAGCAGGTATTAAAATAAACAATCGATATTTGGATGGTGTTTATGAAAATAAAAGACTTTAATTCATAACCAAGAATTTTAAGATCTGTGCACAAAATTAAACATGTTGGAATTTGTAACATGTTGGAATTAGTAACTTGTTGGAATTTGTAACATGTTAGAATTTCTTTCAACATAAACACTATGAGGATCTTTTTTTGGATGCAGGATAAAATTATTCAATTGTTTGAACTTTTGAGAAGTTTTTGCACAAAAATATTTATTATGATACTAATACAATGTGTGGTTACCCTATCCTGTATCATAAACCTTACCCTTCATAGAGCTGTATCAATTTCTCATATACAGTGACCAGTACTGGTTTATACACTGATACATATACTTGATTCTTCTCATAGAAACTACATAATCCCTAAAAAAAAAAACAAGACAGTCAAAGAAAGCTTGTGTTCTGTAGCTGCTACCAATGTTTTATTACCAAACTTTTTTTTTTAGACTTAAGGTTTTGTTTTGCAGCTCAGATGGTTTGTACTTGGTTTATTTTTTATACTATTAGGACAAAGGAATCTCAAAATCATTTACTTGATAATAGCCATGATGCAGTCAATTTGGTCAAGTTAAGAACACACTTACCTGCCAGGCTAGAACTTGCTCTGGATTACTCTCAGTGGCTGTTTTATAGGCTTTCAATGCCTGCTCATTTTTATCAAGTTTTTCAGCAGCAACACCAGTAAATACCAGAGCATTATAATTCTTATTATCATGTTCTAAAATATTCTGTAAAAAATGAAGTCACATTTAACAGTTTTGAAGTCCTATATAATCAATCATCCCTTCATAGTAAAAACTAGGAATTATTTGAGTGTACCTTTGTAAAGCCAAATAACTTGGACTAACTACTTATCTGCTTGACTCTGACATTAAGATGGAAATTTTTCTTGGTTCAATATTTTGGAGGTAGGAAGATTTCAGACAACCCGAAGGTCAGGACTCTGATCAGATTGAGAAAGTATAGATTTTCAGCCAGTTATGCAGTCAGAAGGGGTTGACATTGAAAAAGTGTTTAGTCTTTTGGATGAGACATTTAAACAATGGTCCTGTTTGATGCAAGCTGTGTTCATTACAGGTCCATAAAAAGTTCAAATGTGAGTAGGCTATTACTTCTGTTTGGTAAAATGTCCATTGCCTGCAGGTGTTGTATGGAGCAGCAAAATAGGATGGGCAACTCCATATCATTTAGTTAGATTAGATATCATTTAGTTGAAATTATAGACCTCTTTTCAAATATGGTGCGGTAGTCAATGTATTCCAATTTGAAAATCATTGATATCAATTTCAGTTTGACAATCATCAATACAAATTTTAATTTGACAGTCAGCAATATAAATTTCAATTTGACAGTCATGCATATAAATTCCAATTTGACAATCATTGATACAAATTACAATTCTGAAAATCTCACCTGGCAATGTTCCAAGGCAACTTCATACTCTTTCTTAGATATAGCCTCTCGAGCGCTTTTCAGGGCATTTTTAATACCTTTACTATCCATAGTTGGTAAACTGAAACTAAAAGGTCATAACATGTCACTGATAGTTACCAATAAATTGCTTTAAACCAAATAAAGTTCTAAATGATGAATTGTGGCATAGCAAAACCCAAAGAGGCTGTCATATAATTGCTCTATGTTGGATTTTGCTATCCCACAATTAGTCATTGTTATCAAGAAAACAGTTAAACATGACACACTCTAATCAGTTAAAAATAACGTCATTATAACTGGACAGCAGTGGAAAACTTGATTAAACCAATTCATAATGTTTCATATTTTCCTTCGACTCACAAATCATTCAAATGTTGTAAATAAACATAACTATATGGTGCTTACATTCATGGACTTTATTAGTATGGATATGTTGTTACAAGCATGAATACAAATTTGGTCTCTTTCAATGCACAATAAGTTCACAAATTGGCAATAAGTCCTGTCTAGAAAAGCACAGACAAACTACCGACAGTAACATCACTCCAAGTAGGTGGTAGGGTTGCCATTTGCGCCTAGGCCCCCTTACATAGATGATAGAGTAAGCTAAGACATCTTTAGTTTAAGAAAACCTAGACCAATGATGATAAATGATAGATGAGAATTCACTCAATTTCTCAATTTTCTTATTTAATTATTTGTTGAGATATCCTGGTTTCTCCTGCAAGCAGATGGATATCACCAAATCATCACTACCTCGGACTACAATGTAATACTGATCCAAGCAAATGCAGAATGTTTCGGATTATGTCCTACCGTTCTTTCAGTTTCAGTAGTAGTACTGGTGCTTGTAGTTGTAATCATAGAACTGTATGTCAGTTCTATGTAGTAATGAATTATTAAGACTAAATTCACCAACAATACTCAATACTCAATGTGTGTATGGCAGTTTGGACAATGGTCTCAAGTCATGTAAAATGAGCCAAATACAGAAGTAGATCGTCCAACGTCTGCAGAAGCCAAATGACGGTGCAATCTTAACATGGGGCCAAGTTCGTTCAACTCAACCTGGAGTTGTGTTATTTTTGACTGAAGAAAGCGAACTGGCTATTTCCTGCGAAACCCAAAGTACTAAAAATAAAAACGTGAAGTCGTTGTTATTTATGAGGTTTTGATCTCAGATCCAAGTGAGGATGCTTAACATATTTCAGACAAATATAAATAACTCAGTAATATGCCGAGCTGAAGGGATGAAAAAAGGGTATTTGATCGAGTTGAGTCTTGAGTTGTAGTATTCAGCGATCTCCAGCACCAGTACATTTGTGGATTTGATTTATTTACTAAGGCTACTTATATCATGACTGTTCAAAAGAATGTTAATGAATTGAACCTCAAATGTAAATTAAAAAATGTTATGGATATGATTAAAATTCAAAGATGATTAAGGTTGAAGGAGTAAGTCTTTGATGACAAAAATGGAATTGCTCCTTTAGTTTATACATGTATAATGTAAATATTTGTTGTAAGCTTACATATGCATGTATGAAAAAGACTGTTCAATTTGAGCAGTTAGTGAAAATTTTATACATGACATAAAAAATAATTTCATTTCTATTTCAGGAAATTTGTCCATCTTCACTAATTAGTAATACAACAATAATTGTTCACATTTAGCAACCATGACAAGATTTGCAAGAACTGGTCAAGGGTATCAAAAGAAGCAGCCTCATAAAGCTTCTACATGGCAGGAATTTCAGTCGCAGAATAATGAACAACAGTCATCTTCCTCATCTTATAATAGTCACCCCGATTCCAGACCAAACAAAAGATCTTCAAACCATTTCCAAAATGATTCCTATGGTTTTAAGAAAGCTAAGCGTGGTGAATTTAGACGTTTAAAAAGAATGGATACAAGAGAAGCAGCCAAGGTTTGAAGATTTATTTCCGAAAAAAAGTAACATCGACATCAATATCTTACTTAATGTGAAGTTTTGTGGAATTACTGGAAAAACAATAATATAATATATGTCGAATGCAAAATCAAAATGATCTTTAGAAGCAGAAGTTTTATATTCTGGAATAGAAATGAATTCATGAATCGCTTTAAAGACTGAAATGTCTGACCATTTTCTGCCTTTGATTAAATAAAAATGGTTAATTTTTATATAGGTGTGTTTTAATTGTCGAAAGGAAGGTCACATGGTTGCCGACTGTCCTGAGAAAAACAAAGGACAAGGAATGGGAATCTGTTTTAAATGTGGCTCTACTGAACATGGAGTTAATGAATGTCGTTCTAAAGTCAAATCAGGTTTGTGTATGATTTTGCAGTGAAATTGATAATATTAAAAGGATTGTAAAGAGGTTTTCCTTATTGTTTTTGTGTATCAGGGACATTAATAGCATCAATTTGCACCATTCTAATTTGATGACATCACTAATCACAAAAGGCCTTATGACATCCTCAAACATTTTATTTTAGTGGAATTGTAGGAACCACAGACGTCCAATTGTAAATTGGAATGGTGCAAACTGATGCTATCAGTGTCCCCAGTTCAAAATCCACATAAAAAATTAAGAAAACCTCATTACAATCCCCTTTAATCTGTTGATCCAAATGATATTATTGAATGACATTATAATAATTATCATTTAATTTAAGGGTAACCTCAACCTCAAAATTGAAAAAGTAAATAATTAAATCTTAATGAAGACTCAATAGATGATTCAATATTTTTTTTTTACATTCCAGATGACTTTCCATATGCTACTTGTTTTATTTGTCATGAAAAAGGTCATTTATCAAAACAGTGTCCAGATAATCCTAGAGGGCTTTATCCAAATGGTTAGTCAGTCTTTATCTTTTTATCTAATGTTTGATGTTTGTGCTACCTATATCACAAATATTCAAGTAGCTGTGTTGTTACTATTGATTATAGAAGCTTTACATAAGTAGTTCTCTGCAATGTTTTGTCTCAATGAATCTAATTGGCCATGAAATCTGGGCTGAATGTAAATTTGTCCATAATTCCATCTGAAGCTTCGCATCGAAGGAACGGGTTGGAGCTGTTGTCATCTTGGCATTGATTCGACAAAATTCACACCATAAAGTACAGTAACTTCCATGGGGTTTCCAGTTGTCAAGACTATCTCTTGCCAAATCAAAATTTTGACCCATAAGATTTAGGCCATACCTGTTGTTAGTGTAGCTATAGGCGAACACAACAGAGGTCTAGTTTAGGCTGGATGTTGATTGAGCTTGTACATTCTTTGCACATATCTTTTTGATCCTTGAGAATCTTGCCTACCTTTTCCTGGACCTTGATTTTTCCAAATTATCCTGTCCCATTTGCACTTTATCAAATTTCTGAACAAAATATTTTACCTTTTGTTTGATGAAACAAGTCATGTCTGTTTTTATGACAACAGTGCTGAATATTTTTATTTTATTGTAGGTGGTTGTTGTAAAGAATGTGGATCAGTTGAACATTTTAGACGAGATTGTCCAGAATTACAGAAACAACATGGTATGTGTAGGGCCATCATTTCATAGCTACTATGCATTCAGCTCACTGACTTTGCTTGTGTTTCCTATGCTACATTTATAAACCTTACCCTATTTCAAAACTTAAAGAGATTTTAAAAGCTTTCTTAAAATATTATAAGGGGACAATTGCAAGAATCACAGACATCTGATTGAAAATTTGAATGGTGCAAATTGATGCTATCAGTGTCCCCGATACACATTTACAGTTTAAAAAACCTCTTTACCATCCCTTTACGATGATATAAGTGTTTCAATCATCTGATTGGTCAATCACTGAAATCAATTAAAGATTCGGTTTTATAAACCAATTAGATTACTGTATTTCTTAAAATCTGGCTTTTATCTTAGTTCTCAAACTTAGGCCCCTGATGCTGGATTTGGATATTTTGTGTAATTATCAAAAAAAATTAACAGGAAAAAGTCCGTACAAGCAATACAATTCTGTTAACCGAAAATCTCGCCCAAAGAATGACAAAATCAAGAGTAAAGATAGAAAGTGTATGATGGTGATATTAATTATGTTGTATTTCATTCAAGTTTTCTGTTTTTAAAAAAATTTACTCTGTCTTTATTTCAGGGGTACCAGAAGTTAAAATTTCTAAACGAACCAATATGATGAGTGCTGATGCAGAAATTGTGGAAAAAATTGAAATTTCACAACCAAAAATTAAAAAGAAAGGACCTAAAATTGTGAAATTTTAGCTTTTGTTTCTTCATTGTATAATTTGTAAAATAAATTTAAAATATCTAATGTTGATGTTTTGCTACAGGGCTGTTGCATTGGTTGCATTTGCAAGTTATATCTGATTCTACATTTGTAGCTCCGCCATGATTTTTGCATTTAGTTATTAGGGGGTGAGAGCCAACACAGGGCTGACTCTCTGAAGCACTAGCAAAGGTATCAGAATTTTTCTTACTCTGAAGAGAATTTGAACCCACCCGCTTTGCTGACAACAATCCAACTGGCTTCCGACTGAGCTATTCCACTGTCACTTTTTCATCATTGAGGGCCAATATACATGATTTTTCCACATATTTCAGATGAACTTTGTAAATATAATCTGAATTACTGGGTATCAATGCAAATCCTAGAACCATATTTTTAGGTACTTACGGTAATAATAAAAGCAACAGGTGAAACATAAAATCCGGACCCTAGTACAGACTGTGCACATTAAATTGAACAATATTTGTTGCCATGTTCATTTGCCCAATAAGAGGTAAAGAATCTTCTATTTCATTCTCAAATAAACCCCATGAGGCATCATTCTAGAGTTTGAGGAACTGATAAACAATACTAACATTGTGATGATTTTATTTTGTACATTTAACTATTGTACAGTGACAAAACAAGATTATATTAATCAAACAAAACAAATAAAAACAAGTTTTATTATAATAAAAACAAAGATAATACATTAATAAGATATAGCTGCTGTATAAAGACATTAGTACACATCTGGGTATCTTCTTAAAGATTAAAGAAAAACCACCTCTTCAGATTTAGAATTTTTAAATTTGGCTCATAAAAGTATATATTCATCTTTAGACTTATCCAGTGTCATAACTATACAACAGAAACCCACAATAATGCAATAAATCCATAAAACTAAGTAATTATCTTTAAAACTATAAACTCTTCTATAAAAGAGTTTTTCAATAATTATGTGTTTTATCGATTTATCAGTTTGAACAGGAATTCTGTAGTATATTTATCAAACATATCTTGGGTGACCGCTTGAAACCTTATATATATGCCATATTTTGACTTTTCAGTACCGTTCGAAAGTTCATAAAAGCATGGATCTTGTGATCAAAAGTTAATATTTTTAGCTTGATTTTAAATAACCCAAAACCCACTCAAATTGTTATAAGAGGTTTAAATTTTCAAAGAATGAAAACCACGTATAGCGGTAAAAAAAAAGTAATAAAAAAGATTTTAACAAAATACGCGTACAAATAGTTTTTTGCGTTTTTCTCCTAAAGTAATTTCGCGTCATATATCGTTATACGAGGTTTCAAGCAGTCACCCACGATATACTTTTATTGACCAAGTTGAAGAAGTTAAATTTTAAGTGCATTCTAAGAGGTAGTATCTCTTTAATCATACACAAAAGCATTTCTTTTTGAGAGAAACCAGATCTTTTGAGAACTGTAGATCTGGTGTGTCCCAATATGCACAAATATCTATACCAGTAATATATAAAAGTGGTATAATGATCAGTAGATAGTTTGATATGATTCACAGTATAGTGACAGAGATCACTGAAATATAAAACAGCCATATGAAACGATCTTGCTTTGAATTTTAAAACAATTCCCATATTCATCACAGTTTCCTTCTATACCTGATATAGTCAACTAATAAACTATGAGCTGATACTAATAATTTTAGCTATCCATGTCACTTTTCAGAATTGAAATCTTAAAGTCTGGTTCCACTACGATTAAACAAAATCTTGCATTGTAAATTTAGACATTAAACTCATATCACGGCCATTCAAAACATAATAACATTTTCACATGTTGATGGCTTCATAATATTCGTCTAAAGTGCATGACTCTATTAGAAACTTCCATGATATATTTTTGCTGTAGAACTTAGCATCAGATTTCAGTTTTGATAAGTGATATGGATGGTTAACATAGAGCTCAATCAGCTGGTTAAGAAAAATGTTTATACTTGAAACAAAACCAGTTGTCTTTACAAATAGTCCTTACTAATTTGGGAATTATCTATATAGGTTCAATGCAAAACTAGAGCATATGACCTCAAAGAAATTTTTGAGAAGAAATTTTCCCAAAGATCTTGAGTCTTATTAAAATGATATAATTAAATGCTTTGTTGTATAGTCTATATAGTTTGCATTTGGAAATTGATATCTTGATATTGCCCAGCTAAATAAAGGTCTTTCCATGCCCATATCTGGTAATGGACCCAGTGTTTATCAGGTTAGGTCAAATGTTAATTTGAGGGCTGTTGTTAGACCCTAACTGAAGTAGCTATATCAAAAATAACAGCTAATAAAAAGACAAAACAAAAGTTAGGTCTAATTTTAATTAAACTGAAGTAGCCTTTACCAAGTGATATGCTTTGTGATACCTAACTTGGAGTGCTGGATGTATGTATATTTTGTTTCATTCAGTGTTTAAAGGGTTAAGAAATACTGTTTTCATTTTAGAAGAGCCTTAAATAAAATAAAAAAAAAACAAGGCATAAGTTTGTATATAGATATGAGACAAACATAAAAAAAAATGGTATGAATTTGTTCCAAAAGTTCAAGACATATATCCAGATTCAAAGGTATTAAATAAAACATGCATTTAGTAAGGTTAAAAATAATGTTAAGATCATTTCTACCAACTGATCTCTTGACAATTTTCGACCAGTTGAAGTTATCATCTTAGTGATGAAAATATGAAATGTGTTAAAAATATATTATTAAAAATATTAATAAAAGAAACATATATATAAATATTGTTAACGTTATTACTTAAAATATACAACTAGCTCTGTATTAAAAGATTATATTAAAGGGAATGTAAAGAGGTTTGCTAAAATTTGTATGTGTATCATCAGGGACACTGATAGCATTAATTTGCACCATTCCAATTTTCAATCAGACGTCTGTGATTCCTGCAATTCCAGCAAAACTTAGTGTTCACGATACATATAGAAATCTAGAAAACCTCTTTACGATCTCTTGAAGTCATATAGTTTTACATCTAGTTGACACAAAAAATGCAACAGATTAAAGGGATAAATTGGTTTAATATTTGCTAAAAAAAAAACCATATAACAGCAAGATTTCAGCTATCTGTAGTACTTTTCAGAAATGAAATCCAATATCCAGTTCCCTAGCAATTCAACAGAAATATACTGTGTTAGTTTTCTTGTTTTATTGATCCTTTCATAAGTTTTTTTTTCTCTCTTGCCCTGCGCACAAATTTTGTCTTTTTTTCTCCTGTCTTACAGATTTTTGAAGAATAATGCATAAAACAAAAAAAATTAATTCGTTTGACCTAATATCAGAATATCAGCATGTAATAATGTTTATGCTTGGGTCATTTGATTGTATACAAACCAAATATGGCATTTCTCTTTATACCACACCATAGCTGTAAATGAGCTCTACCAGCTAGGAAAATATCATTTAAGTTAGAGAAAAGGTGCAGATTCTATTACAGTGATAAATACATGGATAAAGTAAATAATAGCAAAAAAAAGTAATCTAAACATTAAACAATAAAAACTGTGGAATATAAATTGTGACCAGCACATATATATAATATATCATATTAATCAAATATTCATTGCTCAGCAGAGCAATTCCGTTACAATTTAATTGGACTGTACCATGTGCATCCATATTGTTTACAATCCTGTCAAGAGCCCTGGTTGGCTGTATTTGAACCATCCAATCAAATAGCTGCATTTACAAACTTATTTGTTACAAGAAAATTGCTTAATGATGTCAAGGTATTAGACTGACATCTTATAGCTTGACATTATGAAGATGGAAAGTTTCTTGATATGGAATTTAAATTGGACTGTACCATGTTCAGCCATATTGTTTACAGTCCTGTCAAGAACCCTGGTTGGCTGTATCTGAACCATCCAATCAAATAGCTGCATTTACAAACTTATTTGTTACTAGAAAATTGCTTAATGATGTCAAGGTATTAGACTGACATCTTATAGCTTGACATTATGAAGATGGAAAGTTTCTTGATATGGAATTTAAATTGGACTGTACCATGTTCAGCCATATTGTTTACAGTCCTGTCAAGAACCCTGGGCGGCTGTATTTGAACCATCCAATCAAATAACTGCATTTACAAACTTATTTGTTACAAGAAAATTGCTTAATGATGTCAAGGTATTAGACTGACATCTTATAGCTTGACATTGTGAAGATGGAAAGTTTCTTGATATGGAATTTAAATGGAGTCAAGATATATCAGATATTTTTGTATAATTCACCCTTAACATCTGTGGTTATTTC